TCATAATCTCCACGTGAACAGTTCCTCTCTCCCATAAATTGCATATGGCAGTGAAAAGTGATCTCTTGCAATTCCCGCGTCTTTTCATCTCGTTTAGTGCAATACTGTAAACCCTGAATAAACACCGTGGGACCCATACGCAGTGCCACAGAGTGATGCCGGAAGTGCCCCCAAGAAGCAGAGACAAGTCATAACATGGCAAGGAAAAATTGAATTGCTTGATGTGTACCGGAGATTGAGGTCTGTAGCTGCGGTTGCCCACCATTTCAAGATGAATGATGTAAGGACCACTTTAAAAAACTAAAAGGAAATATATGAAGCCGCTGCTGTACCTACACCAGCAGGCATGAAGACCTTGCACTTTTTGTGAAATTTTTTTTTTATCTCGTATTGAAAGTGTAGCTTTTATGCGCAGGATTGTTATAAGAAAGGCATACCTGTAGACTCTAGTATGACTCAAGAAAAAGCGAAGTCGTTATATGACAAACTTAAAGCAAAAGAAGATGAAGGATCTAAAGCTAGAGAAACCAATGTCAGCAAAGGATGGTTTGGTAATTTTATAATAGAAAGAGGCTTGGCTTTAAAAATGTCCAAGATAGGCCAGGCATGGTGGCTCATGCCTCTAATCCCAGCACTTTGGGAGGCTGAGGTGGGAAGATGGCTTGAGGCCACGAATTTGAGACCAGCCTGGGCAACATAGCAAGACCCTGCCTCTATTAAAAAAAAAAAAAGAAATTTTTATTTTTAAAGTCAAGATAACAGAAGCAGCTTCTGCCAACAAAGAGAGAGCAGACGAGTTCCCAGATGCCATTAAGAAAATCATTGCGGAGAATGGATATCTGCCCAAACAGGTTTTTAATGCAGACAAAAGTACCCTATTCAGAAAAACAATGCCACAAAGGACATTTATTGGTAAGGAAGAAGAGTGAGCACCAGGATTTGAGGTGGGAAGGAATGGGCTAACTCTTCCAATCTGTGCCAGTGCTATCGCATTTATGATCGGGACTGCCCTTATCCGTAAAGTTGCTAACCACTCAGCCGTGAAGGGAAAAGATAAACACCAGCCGCCACTTCTGCTTATACAAGGCGTGGACAGTGAGAGCCCCGTTTCTGGATTGGTTCCATCCATACTTTGTCCCTGAAGTTGGGAATTACCTTGCTAGTAAGAAGCTACATTTTTAAAGTTCTTTTGATACTGGACAATGAATGCCACAGGCCACCCAGAACCCCACGCGTCAACACTGAGGGCATCCAAGTAGTCTACTTGCCCCCGAACACAATGTCTGTAACTCAGCCTCTAGATTATGGGCTCATAAGGACCTTTCAGGCTCAGTACCCACAGTGCTCTGTGGAGAGGATTGTCAGTGCTAAGGAAGAGAACCCCAAGAGAGAGAACATCTTGAAAATCTGGAAGGATTACACCACTGAAGATGCCATTGTTGTCATAGAAAAAGCCGTCAAGCCAGAAACAATAAATTCCTGCTGGAGAAAACTGCCTCCAGATGTCATGCATGACTTCACAGGATTTACAAACCGGCAGCTTTACAACAGAGCCAATCACAGAAATCATGAAAGAGATTGTGGATATGGCAAAAATGGGGGGGGAGTGGTGTTAGATCTGGATCTTGGAGAAATTTGAGCTAATAGACGCCACACCAGAGGAATTGACTTGACTCGAGATGGCGCTTCCCAACCAGTGCCAGGCAGTGAGGAGGAAGACTTAGAGGAAGCAGTGCCAGAGACCAAATTGACATTAGACAGTCTGGCAGAAGGGTTCCAGTTATTCAAGACTGCTTTCAACTTTTCTTATGTTACAGACCCTCCTATGATACGGGCACCAAAACTATTAATAAAGCAAACAGTGGAAAAAGGATTGGTTCCCTAGGGAAATATTTTGCAAGAAATGAAAAAGCAAAAAAGTCAGAAATTATGATGTATTTCTATAAAATTACACCAAGCGTGCCTGTCTCCCCTTCCACCTCCCCTACCTCTTCTGCCTCTGCCACCCATGAGACTGAGAGACTCACCCCTCCCCTTTCTCCTCCTCCCCAGCCTGCGTGAAGACGAGGGTGAAGGCCTTTATGGTGGTCCACTTCCACTTAATAAATAGTAAAAGTATTATTTCTTCCTTATGATTTTCTTAATAACATTTTTTTCTAGCTTTATTGTAAGAATACAGTATACGATGCATATAACATATATAATATGTGTTAATTGACTATATTATCAATAAGCCCTTCCTTCTGGTCAACAGTGAGCTATTATTAGTGGTTAGGTTTTAGGGGAGTCAAAGGTTATATGTGGATTTTCTACTACGTAGGGGCTGATGCCCCCAACCCCTGTGTTGTTTGGGTGTTAACCATATTTATTGATTGACTAGAAATACACACAGATAATTCAAAGTAGCCAGTGGTTCACAATGAAAAGGAAGGCTCTCTCTCTCCCTTTCTTTCAAAACACATTTGATAATGGGGATAAAACAGTAGTTTACATTCTCATGAATGGGGACCAGTCGTAAAATGGAGAAATAAGTAAGTAGATTCATAAATGCTAAGGAGAACAAAGCAGGGGAAGGGTCTGCGAGCGGTGGGGACAGACACGTGGGTCCCCTCCCCAGAGGCAATCGCTTATTAACAGTTTCTTGAAAATTCTTCCAGAGATCTCTGCATGGTTGTTTGCTGTTGCTGTCATTTTTGCTTTTCACATTGGGAGATGTTGCATACAATTCTAGATTGCTGGTTTCTCTGGAAAAATCAGATGATCTGGCATCCACCTTCCCGGGAGGCTCGGCTAGTGGGAGCCGAGGCCCCCCCGCCTCTTCAGAAGGTGCCACTGCCGTCCAGCTCACCGCAGGCGCCACCTGACCTCTCGCCCAGCTACCTTAAGTAACCCCACACTGTGGGTTTTCCAGTTTCTTCCACCTTCTCTAGCCCATCCCTGCACTGCTGCTCTGCGACTTCTTTAGGACTATTCCTGTGCTCACAGAAGAGGGGTGCCCCCTTGCCCCCCACCCTGCGCCTCCGTTTTTCTTTCTATTCTCACTTGCTCAGAGGCTGTAGGCTCTCCTCACCATCGTGCTCCGTGAACCTGCTTCATGTTGCTGTCTCAGACTGTCTCTGCCAGTTCACTCTGGGCACAAGTTGGAAACGCCCCTCCACTCACGCACAGCAGGCCTTCTACTCCTCTGCACGGGAAGCACCAGTAGCTTGACCAGAATGGCCACGTCCAGCTCTAGTTCCAAGGCAAAGAAAAGCTCTGGGTCACCTTGAGCCCAACCCAGCACTCTGCTGCCCTGAACAAGGTCAGGTCTGTTGGCAGGAGGACACAGCTTCCGTCACAGACGGTGGCCCACTTTCCCCTTCGTCTCCAGCAGGGGTCTCATCCTCTCCAAGTTCAAGGTGGAGACAATGGGAAGTGATCCCCTTGCGGAATGCGAACGCCCTTCCCCGGAGCCCTGCAGGTTAGGATGTCCTTAGATGAGGCAGAGGCCGTGTGTTTGCTCGTTCACACGATGAATAGCGAACGAGTGTCCTGGCCGCTGTTCTAGGCACTGCACATACATCAGTGAGCGTTTGAGTGATGGAGGGTCAGCAAGCAGAGCGGGTGACTGAGAAAGGCTTTGAGGAAGACGGGGCTTCTCTGTCACTATAGGGTAGTCTGGGAAGTCCTCACTGAAGAGCTGACATGCACAGGAGCCAGCCTGGTGGAGAACTGAGGGAAGATATCTAGATGTCCTGGATAAGGGTTGGTACATCAAAAGAACAGAAAAGAGTGGCTCATGCATGTAATCCCAGCACTCCAGGAGGCCAACACAGGAGCATCATTTAAGGCCAGGAGTTCGAGACCAGCCTGAGCAACATAGACCCCCATCTCTACAAAAAAGTAAAATAAAAAATTAGCCAGGCATGGTGGTATACACCTGTGGTCCCAGCTACTCAGGAGGCCGAGGCAGAAGGATTGCTTGAGCCCAGGACTTTAAGGTTACAGTGAGCTGTGATCGTGCCACTGCACTCCAGCAGCCTGGGCAGCAGAGCAGGACCCTGTTTCTAAAGAAAGAAATAAAAAAAGAGCTTACTCAGGGATGGCGAGGGCCATCAAGGACACTGGCAGGGGCCAGGTCGGGGGGTTGAGGGTCTGGGGGGAGGGGGTTGGGTTTTTTCTCATGTCATAAAGAGTCATTGGAGAGATCTCAGCAAAGAAGTGATGGGATCTGACTTCCAGCTCACAGTATCTGTTCATCACGTAGGTTTCTAGAGACATTCCTTCTGTGGCTTCCTTCCTGGTGGAGTGGCCGGATTGGGCAGAATATAGAGCAGGTGGACAACAGTCTGGCCTCTGTGTGAAGCCACCAGTCCACAAGAAATACAGGGGTCAGAGGAACATGTTAAATGGCATCATCGGCATCCCCAAAATGGGAAAAGCCACAGGACAAGTGACCCGCTTCCTGTCAATAGTTAAACAGCATCAAAATAAAGGAAGGTGGCCAGTATAGAGTAGAAGACGCTTAAGAAAAATATCTTCCAAAGCAAGGGACAGATCTTGTTTGGATCCTGATTTAAACGAGCCAATCACAAGAGACACCTGTGAGACAGTGGGGACCACGTAATGCAGACAGCGTAGTGCGTGGTAATGACCTCCTGTTGATTTAGATGGCTATGGCATGGGATCATGGCTACTTTTTAAAGACCCTATCTGCTAGAGATACAATCTAAAATATTTACAGATGAAATGACCTTTAGGGTTTAACCTAAAATATTGTCACAAACAAATGGGTATAGGCTGGGTGGATGGGTGAGACAGGCATGGCGAACAGTTGAGGGCTGTTTTAGCTGGGGATTGGCTTATCACAGTCCCCTCTCTGTTTTTGAATATGTTTGCACATTTCTATAATGAAAAGTTTTTTTAATGAGTAAAGCTGTCCAAAAACGGTCACATTTCCCATTCTCTGGGAGCAGTAACATGTTCATCACGTCTCACATTTTCCTTTTCTCCCCTTTCAGCATGGCGGGGACGACGCCCTTGCCGCCCGCTGGCCGGCGCCTGCGACCGCCGCTTGCTCTGCCCTGCTGAGCGCCCAGCCTGCAGCCCCCGGGACAGCACCTGCCTCCGAGGTTGTCCTGGCCCGGCTGCGCACAGCGATGGTGGAGAACTGGACTCCACAGGCTCACGACCTTCCCGTCAGGTTTCAGGGACCAGCATCCTTCATCCGGGGACTGGCGGCCCTGAACAATGGCTGAGGGCCAGGGGACCCCATAGGGTTGCACCGCAGCTTCCGGGGGCCAGCAGCACTCCAGTGCCCGTGGACTATGACCGCCTATCGGCCCATCCCCCCTGATGGCGTGGACCTGGCAGCCAGCTGTGGGGCCAGGGGGGCCGACGTCCTCCCGGGGCCACACACCGGGGATTATGCTCCCGTGGGATTCTGGGCCCAGAATGGCAGCATGTCCCAGCCTCTTGGGGAGAGCCCGGCCACGGCCACCACCCGCCCCAGCCCCACCACCCCTGCAATGCCCAAGATGGGCGTGCGCGCGAGAGTGGCCGACTGGCCGCCCAAGCGGGAGGCCCTGAGGGAGCAGAGCAACCCGAGCCCCTCACAGGACACAGATGGCACAAAGGCCACCAAGGTGGCTCATTCCATGAGGAGCGTACAGAATGGACAGCTCCCCGCCAGCACCTCGGCTTCCTCAGGGTCCAAAGCCTTCCAGCGACTCTCCAGGAGAAGGTCCAAAGACGTGGAATTCCAGGACGGGTGGCCCCGGTCCCCGGGCAGGGCCTTCCTCCCCCTGCAGCACCGCAGCAGCAGCGAGATCACCCTCAGCGAGTGTGACGTGGAGGACGCGGGCGAGCCCCGGGGAGCCCGGCACACGGGGGCGTTGCCCCTCTTCCGCGAGTACGGGAGCACCTCCTCCATCGACGTGCAGGGCGTGCCCGAGCAGAGCTTCTTTGACATCCTCAACGAGTTCCGCAGCGAGCAGCCCGAGGCCCGGGGCTCCCAGAGCCTCGCCGAGCTCCTGCGGGCAGACCCCGGCCCACACCCCGTCGGGGGCGGCAGCGGAGCCAAGGGGGACCTCCGCAATGGGCAGCCCTCGAAGGACAGTCTGCTGCCACTGCAGCCCATGAAGGAGAAGGACAAGGCCCGGAAGAAACCCGTGCGGGGCCTGGCCGGTGGGGACACGGTGGACTCGTCCATCTTCCGGAAGCTGAGGAGCAGTAAACCGGACGGGGAGGCCGGGCGGTCCCCGGGGGAGGCGGAAGAGGGTCGGAGCCCCCCAGAAGCCAGCAGGCCGTGGGTCTGTCAGAAGAGCTTTGCCCATTTCGACGTGCAGAGCATGCTGTTCGACCTCAACGAGGCGGCCGCCAACAGGGTGTCTGTGGCCCAGCGGCGGAACACCACCACGGGCGCCTCGGCCGCCTCGGCCATGGCGTCCCTCACCGCGTCACGGGCCCACAGCCTGGGGGCCCTGGACCCAGCCTTCACCAGCACCGAGGATTTGAACTGCAAGGAGAACCTGGAGCAGGACCTTGGCGACGACAATAGCAACGACCTGTTGCTCAGCTGCCCGCATTTCCGCAACGAGATCGGAGGCGAGTGTGAGCGCAACGTGAGCTTCTCCCGGGCTTCCGCGGGCTCCCCGAGCGGCGGCGAGGGCCACCCGGCGGAGCCCGCCCTGAGCGCCTACCGCACCAACGCCAGCATCTCAGTGCTGGAGGTGCCCAAGGAGCAGCAGAGGACTCAGAGCCGGCCCCGGCAGTACAGCATCGAGCACGTGGACCTGGGCGCCCGCTACTACCAGGACCACTTCGTGGGCAAAGGTGACAGGGGCAGGGGGTGGGGTCGGCTTGCCTTGTCCCTGAGATCCCACTGCTCAGTCACTCACTCTTTGCCCGGCCCTGCTCTGACACTGCCGGTGCGGCAGGAAGGGAGACCTCCCTCCTCGGGGGCTGTGAGGACACAGTGAGCCGAGCCACACCCACTGTGTCACACGCGCCTGGCACTCCATAACGCTCGTGCTGCGTGAGACGACAGAAATGCATTTATTCTGCAAATACGAGCTTGGTGCAGCTATGAGCCAGGCACTTTCTAGAGCCTGGGGATCTAGTATTGACCAGCTTAAAACAAAAATTCTGTCTTCCTGGCACTTAATGTTTTAGTAGGGTAAGACAGACAATACAACAAGAGAAAGACACAAAATGCAAAGGTGTGGTAGGATGCTGAGCGCTATGGAGAAGAGTCAGGCAGTGAAGAAGGGAACGGAGTACCCAGTAGGGGGTTGCAGCTTGCAGCGGGGAATGGTCAGGCAGGGCCTCCTGAGCCCGTGGCATTTCAGTGCCACACAGAAACTGTGGCCGGTGTCCCTGGCACAGAGAACAGCAAGTACGAAAGTCCTGGAACACTGGAGGAACAGGCAGGAGGCCAGTGTGACTGGAACAGAGGGACCGAGGGAAAGTGGAAGGAGGTGAGGCAGAGAGGTGACGAGGGCAGATCATGCGGGACTTTGTGGGCCTTGGTAAGGACTCCCATTTGTACCCTGCATGAGATGGAGCCACAGGGGAGGGTCCCGATCTGACTCCCGTGTCCAGTCTCCCTATGGCTGTGTGTGGGGAGCAGACTGGGGGGGGGGGCAAGGGCTGGATGACCGGAGCGGAGGCCGCTACAATAGTCAGGGCAGGAGATGATGATGGATGAGCCTGGGATGTCTAGGACAGGAACCCAGGAGTGGGAAGAATCTTGCAGGCAGATTCTGGGTCCATTTTTGAAGGTGGAGCTGGTGGTGTTTGGAGGGTGGGCTTCGTGTATCATTAGGGTCACCAGTGCTAGTGGGGCGACCCTAGAAGGCACTGTAGCACAGCGTACAGATACAAACCCAGGGGGCCACAGGGGCCGGGCAGGAAATGTGCACATGTGAAGCAGGGACTAGGCAGCTTCTGCTCAGCTCCAGCTGACCCTTGTAATGCAAGAAATGCAGACAAACTCAGTAATGCCAGCCTTTTTGATTTTTCAAGAGTCTCCTAAAATTCAGATTGTTTTAAATGTGGACTTTCCTAATTTTTACATGCTGGCAGCTGTAATGATTCAGAATTGCTTGTAACTGCTAGTGACAGGCTGAAACAACATGGCAGTGTCTCTCGCTTAAAGACATCTAGAGGTCAGCAGCCGGTGGTGCGGGTCCTCCCCAGCCTCAGTGCGCAGCCTCCAGTCCCCCTGGGCCACGGTGGCTGCTGGGGCTCTAGACACCAACCATATGCACACTTCCAGGCAGGGAAAAGAAGAAAGGATCGGGACAGAAAGGCAGACCCCCTCTCAGGTCACCCCCTTAGAGAGCTTTCTCAGAAGCCCCATCCAGCCACTTCTGCTCACTGACCCCTCCCATCTGCAAGGAGATTGGGAAATGGAGGGTTTTAGCTAGACAAAGTCCCTCTCTCCCCACCCCCCCACACACCCCCGGCAAGAATAGAGGGATTTTACTAAAAAGAAGGGAAAAATAGATAATGGGTAGGCATCTGGTATACCACAACAACCAGCTTAAATTTTTTTTTAAAGTAGCGTCCTGGTCAAACGTAGCAAATGTCACTTAGGTCATCCCACAGGGATCAGTGTACATATTCTCGGCAGTGCCAACTTGGAGCCGGATAGCCCTGGGTTTGGGGTGTCTGTTCCATAGTCCATTGAGCTTTGTGATACATTTCGCCCTTCAGACCGTCCTCGTGTGACAGATGGAGATGATCATGCTAGCATCACGTGTGCAGAACAAAATGACAGAGATCAAAAATAAAGGGAGGGATGAAAAAAGAAGTTCCAGGTAGTTGCTTACTGGGAGAAAGCCAGTGCGGGAAGCCAGTATCTGCACGACACGGATTTAAAGGCTAAAAAGCACTTTTTAGAGACACTGAGAAGTCTATTTTATGTTGCTTCTTAAAAATTCACTAAGAACTTCTGGTAGTTGTGAACCTTTGTATACCTGGCAATGTGATTTAGGGATATATAGATTTAAACTGATAAGGCTACAGGAGGGAGTGGACAAATCCACAGCTATAGTGGGAGAAGTTGACGGGTTCGCTCACTGAAACTGACACATCTAGTAGCCAAAAAATAAGGATGAGGAGGATTTGAATAATTTGAACTAAACTAAACTTGATTTTACATTTCTGTGTATTATTAACTATGTACCTAATCAAAAAAGAACACATTCTTTTCAACCCACACATAGAAACACTTGCATGAAAGGAATCTAGATCAAATAAGATTATATTAATTCATTAAAACACTTAGTTGTCAAGCAGGTAGGAAGTGCTCATCAGGAAGCTTTAAAAAAAAAAAGCCATTTTCTTTTTTAAAATGATGGCCTTTGTAGCCCTGGGAGCTGTTAAAGGAAAAAGTATTCAGTGATATTTGTTAAAGCACAGTAAGGAAGACTTACTCAGGACCGTCATGGTAGGTGTAGGGACCACTGCATTGGGGTCTTGCAGTCAGGGAGAGATTGGGCTCAACTCCAGATACAGCATGAGCAAGTGGGAATTTACAGCCAATAAGTGGGTTGGGGGACAGTGAATGGAAAATTACTAAGAGGAAACGTCAGGGGTAAGGGGAGTTAACGCGTTAGTCATTGGCCAGTGTTTATTGAGTGCCTACTGGGATGGAGAGCCTGTGCTGGGATTTGCAAGGTGCTGGGTGTGCATTGGTGGAAAATACAACACTGTCCCTGCTTCGGGGACGAACTGGTATCTGTGGAGTACAATATTTGTTCTGTTCTCTGACCAGCTGGGGAGATCGTTTAACCCACTGCAGATGCTGTTCTGATCGGGTCTGTTAATTAACACACAATATTTTGGCCTTAGATTAGCCTTTGATTTGCCAGGAGCATCTCATGAGAATAGGCACCGTCGTTAAATATTCAGAGCACTGGGATGGGAAGGAGAGGCAGCTGCTTGCGGTGCCATTTGAATTTCTGACGGTGGGTGAGTGCTGACTTTGCAGACTTGAGTGAAGACAGACTGGGGGGGATCCCCACCACCAGCACAGGGTACTTGGGTTGTACATCGGGAAGAACCGTTTTCCTGGAAGGGTTGTGGATAGCAGCATGTCGTCATTTAGGAGAGAGAGCAGAAGACTTGCTCCATGACATGCTAAAGGCTCTGTCACCCTAAGGGGAAAAAAAGAGCAATGTCTAAGTTACCTAGGTCTAAAGAAACATGGTCACATAAAGGTGACGCTTAAGGACTCGTATCATAGGTGACAACAAACATCATGCCCTGCGTATGGTTATAGCCGATACTTTGTACATGCTTAGTTACCTGCAGGGTGCTAAGTGCCCCACGCTCATTGATATATTTAATCCTCACTGCTGGGCTGAGGAGTGGGTCCATCCTTAACCCCACTGTACTGCCAAGAATGCTATCAGGTGACTCGGCCCTGGCCCAGATGTAAGCCTGTGAGAGGTTCTGTAGACGAGAGTCTTACTTAACCACTTCACGAGGGCTAATCGGCAGCTAAACTGAGCGAACCATTTGCAAACACGGGATTAACCACAGAGATGCTGGGTTTATGACATGTCATGCACTGCGCTGAAGCATTGTATGTTTGTAGCTTCATTTGTCATGCTCACGTCAGCTCTCTGAATCCCGGGTAGCATCAAGGCCCCCTTTTTTCAGATGAGAGCACTGAGGCTCAGAAAAATTCCGACCTGGCAGAGGTGGGACAGCGAGGTGGGCTTCCGCCCTTCTGTGTCTCCGTCGGGTGTGGCTGCGACCTGCGTCCGCGGGTTGCGCAAGAGCCTGCCCTGGCATCCCATCGGCAGGCCTCTGTGCCATGGGACCTTTTCTTCCCAGACAGCTAACCCTGAACGCGCCTGCTCTTCCTTTCTAGAACATGCCAATTACTTTGGCGTGGATGAGAAGCTGGGGCCAGTGGCTGTGAGCATCAAGCGGGAGAAACTGGAAGACCACAAGGACCACGGGCCTCAGTACCAGTACAGGATCATCTTCCGGACCCGAGAGGTAGGTCCCGCCACTGTCGCTGTTATCACATCGGTGACGTGCACTCGTGGCTCTGAGCCGGCTCTGGGGGCAAGCGTTTCCCCGGCTTCGTCTCATGTAACCATCCCAGAGAACAGTCCTGTTAGTCTCTGCGTTTTACAGGAGAGGAAACTAAGACTTAGAGACATTAAATGATACAGGATCGTGAATGAGCGGCCAGGCTGAGATTTGAATCCACTGTGTCTGACTTAGGAGCCCAAGATCACAAAATCCATGTGCAAGAGACTAACTGTAGTTAGCATAGAAGATAAAGGGGGCAGGGGAGGAATCATTTCAGGATCATGAAGTGTCCAGCACACTGGAGAGAAGAATTAAGCCTGAGGCAGGACAGAAGCTGGGAGATCTCCACAGCAGGCCCTGCTGTTAAGCTGATCGGCTGTAAACACTCCCTACAAGTCACTTTCCATTCAGAGCAGGGAATCCCATTGTCCTGGCTCTGTCAGAGGTCTGCCCCTGAATTAAATGTGCAGCCCTGGCTAGGGGAGAAGGCCTGTTAGGGGCGCCCATGCTTTATTACACTCTTAATTGTAAGTGACAGAAATTTATAACTCGCTTAAGCCAGAAACAGAATTCACCAGTTCACATAACTGCAAGCCCAGGGGTAGGGCTAGCTTCTGGCATAGCTGGACTCAAATGCAATCACCAGGCTCTCTTCTCCCCTCTCTGCTCTGCTTGGCTCTGCTGCTTTTTGCATTGCGAAAGCCATTCTCTTCTGCCACCAAGAAGCTCTCTGCATGTCATGGGAAAATGGAGACTGGCTGCTCAGATCTTCCACATCTTTCTACCTTCTCATCCAAAAGGAGCGGACTCATTTCTGTCTTTGGAATCTGGATGGGCTCGGGCTCTGCTTGGATCACAAGCCTGCACCCTGGGCCCGTCACTATGATCGGGGGCCACAGAGGAGACTGGCCAGATCTAGGACATGTGCTCCAGGGGCAGGGCAGGGGCTGTGATTGACAGTTCCCTCAGAGCCACCTGGAGGAGGAGACGATAGGTGGGGGGGGGTGGCTAGGTCCTCAGCAAAAAGAGGAGAGCTAGGCAAGCAGAAATGACAGAGACTTCCAAATAACCCAAATGAGGAAGGCCTTCCCAGAAAGGGGACAGTTGTCAGCTAGGCAGCCCTCCCAAAATGGGTCTCATCAGGCCTGCGGGCCTGGCCTTTGCCCAGGCCTGGAGACGCAGCAGGCTGCCACTGCCAAGGACTTTAGGTTGGGGGCCAGCCAAGTCCTGGACCTTGTCCAGGCCGGCAGATGCTGCACTGAGGGCCCTTGCCCGGTCCCCTGACCAAGACCTTCCTGGTGAGGGGGATTGGGATGACACGGAGGCTTTGTGGCCGCCAAGGAGAGGCGGCCCCAAAACCACGTGCGCCAGACCACAGGTGGTCACCAGCCCCTGCGCCCCTCCTCCCTCTGCTCACCTTTCTGGCCAGATGAGCACCAGGGCAGAATGTGAGGTGACAGCTCACACTGCGTCACGCTGTCGTAGGACATATGGGCAACTGCTGGGCAAAATGACCACCACAATCATAGACTAGTAAATATTTATTACAGTTATTATTGTGACTGCAGATCTACTTAACACTGTGTGTCGGGCATCGTTCTGTGCTTTTCATGTATATACTCTCATCAAAGTTCTATGACGAAGGCACTGTTGTCCTCATCTATATATGACAAAGCAGGCACGGAGAGGTTAAGGGACTTGCCCAAAGCACCCTCCAGCGCGTGGCAGGGCCGGGGTCTGCCTGTGCTCGGCCACCACACACACTGCCTCTGGGTCTCACTGACCCAGCTCAGGGCCTGTTCGTGAGCTGTGAACTTAAGCCACACGGTGCTGGCGCTTTTCTTCTCGTTTGCAATGAAAATAGAATATGTAGAACGAATTTTTTAAATACCCATCAATGTCATATGTATTGAGAGTCATGAGACTCTAGCGCCAAAGTACTGGGTCAAAATACAGTTTTTTTGCTGTGGTTCCTATTGAGTAGGTTTGAGACGGGCTCGATGCCGTGCCAGCTTGTGCCTGCTGCTGCACACTTCCCGCCCCAGCACCCGCAGAACCAGCCACTGGGGACTCCCGGCCACCCCGGGGGCTAGGCAGACCCTTTGAGTCTCGTGGCCACAGGTCTGGGATTCGTTCATTCCACAGAGATGTACTCAGCACCAGCCCATGTCCTGCACGAGACACCTCAGCACGTTGTACGGCGCAGAGCAGGACGGCCAGGTTGAAAGGAAGGCAAGGGAGAGAGATTAGTGTGGTGGGTGGTTAGAGTTTTAGACAGGCTGGTCAAGAGAGGAGTCACTGGGAAGATGGCGTTTGAGTAAAGATGTAAAGGAGTGAGAGAGAGAGGGGCCATGTGGACAGCTAGTAGAAGAGCGTTCCAGGCATCAAGAACAACCAGTGCAAAGGTCCTGTGGCAGGGCCACGCTTGATGTGCTGGACACCTTGTGTGAGTCCTAATTTGGCCACTTAGTAGCCCTGGAACCTCGGGCACATGGCTTCCCCTCTCAGAGCCTCAGTTTCCCTCTTGGAAATCTCAGGCTTGCAGAGCTATGACATGGGCTCAGTGAGCCCGCACCTATGAAGGAGGTAGTGCTGGGCCTGACACATGGGGGAGCCCAATGAAGTTAGTTGTCGGAAGGGGTCTTAGTCTACTGTCCCCTTGTTACCCCCGAGTCGCCCCGTGGACCGTGACCGACCTGAGGTTCACAGCACAAGCAGGCCTTCTCTGCACTCACACACAGACACGGGCTCAGCCCTGGGCCCAGTCCCTTGCACAGCTGCCCTGTCGAGCCTTCAGGCCTGAGGACCCATCGTCGAGAGTTGGAGGGAGGGGCAGTGGCCCACAAAGTTTCCACACTCCGTCTGTCATGGAGGCAGAGCAGGGGGTCACACAGCCCCAAAACAGTAACAGCAGCGGTGGTGATAATAGCTGACACTTTTAGCATGTATTAGTGTCCTGAGTATTCTATGCATTGACCCATCCAACCCTCTCAGCTATCACACGCTGTGGCCCCATTGTCCTCATTGTGCAGATGAGGACATTGAGGCCCGGGGAGATGATCACTTGTCAGGGTCCCCCAGTGGCAGAGCCAGGCTGTGGACCCAGGCTGCCTGGCTCCCGAGCCCATGCCCTTATCCACCGCACCCCAGTGCCTGCTGGGTCCACGTTGGATTCTGGCTCTGGGGACAGACAGCTTTGCAGCTCACTAGCCACGTGACCTTGGGCAGATGGCTTTGCCTCTGTGCACCTCGGTTTCTTCATCTGTAAAATAGGCTCTGTGCTGTTACCTGTCTCCTAGAGAGTTAGGAAGGTTCTCTTGGACCGACACACACGAAGTGGTAGCACAAGGCGGCTGGGCAGTAAGTGCTCCGAGTGCCAGATACTGGCGGGATTGACACTGCTGTTGTGGCTGTCATTCTTCCCCCAGAGGTCAGAGGACCGTGCTGGGGAGCAGGGCTTGAGCTCAGGGATGGGGTTCTGTCCTCCTGTCCACGCGCACGTGCCTCAGGCTCCCATCAGCCAAGGCCAGAGCGAGGAGCCCAGGCTGCTGTCCAGGCCAGCCGGCCTGCCCCAGATGGCCGCCCCCGGCCGCCAAGCAGACAGTCCCGAGTGAGCCCACATCACCCGGCAGATGGGATATGAGCGTTGGCAGCACCAGGCTTCCCACCGAGGCAGGAACAGGCTTGGAGCTGGGCTTTGGCACCACTCCCCTTAACCCCGGCCTCCAGCCCGGAGAGCCAGGACAGGGCGAGCCCCAGGCCAGGGCGGCGCTGTCCTGAGCCCCTTTGCTGACACCGTCCCACCTAGGGCATGAACTAGGGGTGGAGGGTCCAACCGGCCAGGGACTATCAATGGGTTCCCTCTGGCCTGGCAAAAATGAGTTTTGATAAGAGTCACAGATTTGGATTTTTGTTTTATCAGTTTTTCTTTTTTTAAAAAACTACCAAATTATCATTGCTGAAAACTTAAACAATACATAAGTACACAAGGTAGAAAACGGAAAGTCTCATTAAGCATAAAAAGCAAGTGTAATTGTGCGTCTAGTGAGTCCTCATTTTTGTTCAGTAGTTACATCTGATTGTGTATATATTTATATAAACAATCTACAAAGCATACTGTTAAGTGGGTAAAAAAGCAAACTGTAGCTTCCTATTTAAGGTTAAAAAATTAAAAATTCTTAACTATGTATGTGGCTTTATACATCTGCTTTTGACGTGTATCTGCACATAATAATGGTTAACCCGTGAGCTCTCTCTGTATACAAGATGCAATGCTAAGCGTTATGCATCTTATTGAACCCTTTCAACACCTCGAGTTAGGCATTTTTATCTCCATTGTATCGACGAGGATAAATGGGCACAGAGAAATGGAGCAACTTGCCCAGAGTCACACAGCTAGGGAGGGGCCAGAGCTGGGATTTGAACCCAGGCAGACTGACTCCCAAGTAACCACCCAGGGAAGTTTCTTGAAGGGTCCACCCACCACTCAGCGCTGAGTCAGGAGCCAGTGGAAAATAACCTGCACAGATTGGAACCTCCTTGCTTAAGTGACACTGTGTCCCTTTTACACTTCACTTAATCTGTGACCCGCAGCAAGATGATTCCAGATGTCGCTGGGCCCTGAGCAGAGGGGAGCTGTGATCTGACTCAGGCCGCCGCAGAAAGAACCAGCTGGCTGTGGGGTGGGGCAGGGAGACAGCGTAGAGGCTGCTGTCCAGGTGAGAAATGACGTTGGACGTGACCAGGTGGAAAGAGAGGTGGCCCCTTGGGACCCACCAGTGCCCTGCTTTCCCCAGTGCAGAAAGAAAAGCTGAGAGCTTTTCCAGAAGTGGCCATGGGTCAAGTGGTCAGAGCCAAAATGTGACCACAGGCCACCTGTCTCCAGTGTGGAAGAAGGAAGATTTCTGGGGCACGCTGTCCCTTGTGCCCAGCAGAGGGCGCTGTGGGACAGTGTCAGGAGGCTACAAAGACACTGATCCTGCTGGTGCATTAAGTGAAACCCACAGCCCCAGGGCCACCCAGATTGACAGGCAGAGCCCCTGACGTCATTGCTTTGCATGACATGTTTCAAGACTACCTTGCTTATGAGAAGAGAGATTTTTTTGTTGTTTATTACTCGGCCCAGAACTGGAAACTCCCAAGCATGAGATCATTCTGTTCCTTCCACACGTGCCTCTTACCCAGGTAGAGTTTGGGCGAGGGTGGGCTGATGTTTAGGTTGGCGAAGTCATAGCATGTTATTTTTGCCACCTCCTGTGTTTGTTGATTTAGGTGAGCATGTTTTGCAGTTAACGCTGATGTTTGTTACTAAACCGGAGCCCCAAGTGTATTTTGGGTGCTTGTAACAAGCCCCTGGGGGAGGGATTTTTCCTTGTCACGTTCTGCAGCCCCTGCCGTGCATTCTTGGTGTGGAGCTGGTCCAGGGTGTGCTATACCCCGGTGGCCAGCAGCACGCTGCGGCTAGAAGCATGAGCTAGTGTCAGTGAGGACGTGGAGCAACAGGGGCTCTCAGACAGGGCTGGTGGGGTGTAAATTGGTGCAAGCACTTAGAAAACTGTTTGGCAACTAAGTAAAATTGAAGATTAGCATGCCTGGTGATTTAGCAATTTCTCTCCTAGCTCTCAACCTGAAAGAAAATGAGTTCACACGCACCCAGAGATGCTTCTGTGACTGTTCCCAGCAGTACTGTTCACAGCTGGCAAATACTGGACTCAGTTCTTCTCATCAACAGTGAAGGGTTAAATCAATCCTGGTAGAAATGTCAGCCGCTCACGACATGGTTGGATCTCACATATGTAGCATTAAGGGGAAGAAGCCAGATAACAAAATAATTCAAGTTGCATGGAACTCAAAAATGGGCAGAAATAAATGATGGTGTTGGGAGTCAGGAAAGTGATACCCCTGGGGAGAAGAGAAGGAGTGAGAAAGGGCTTGTGGGGCTGGACATTTTGTATTTCTTTTTTTTTTTTTTTTTTTTTGAGACAGAGTCTCACTTTGTTGCCCAGGTTAGAGTGAGTATCGTGGCATCAGCCTAGCTCACAGCAACCTCAAATTCTGGGCTTAAGCAATCCTCCTGCCTCAGCCTCCTGAGTAGCTGGGACTACAGGCGTGCGCCACCATGCCCAGCTAATTTTTTTTCTATATAAGTTGGCCAATTAATTTCTATTTATAGTAGAGACGGGGTCTCGCTCTTGCTCAGGCTGGTTTCGAACTCCTGACCTCAAGCAATCTGCCCATTTCGGCCTCCCAGAGTGCTAGGATTACAGGCGTGAGCCACCGCGCCTGGCCGAACATGTTGTATTTTCCCTTTGTGATCATTTCTTTGGCCATACATGTATGTGTTATATGCTTTATATATGTGGATCACACTTCATAGTAGAAAAAAAAATCAAAGGGAAAAAACCATGAGCTTTGGAAAGTCAAGCCTGCGTTGGAATCCTGGTTTAGCCACTTGTCAGCTATGGTGGACCTTGGATTAAGGCACCTTAACCTCTTACAGCTTTAGCTTCCTCATCTGTAAAACACAGATAAAACCTCCCCTTAACAGACCTGTACAAATAATTAGACAGTTATATAGTGTCTGGAATACAGTGCAGTGAACTGGACCTTCATAAACTGATATGTTATTAATGTATATCAGTTAGACATTTCTTTGGCTGCAAAGTAACCGAAAACCTGGTAGACCATAACTAAAACAAATAGGGATATATTTTAATTATCTGACAAGAATTCTGAAACTGGGTGCAGTGGTGTACACCTGTAGTCCCACTACTCAGGGGGCTGAGGCAAGAGGATCACTTGGGTCCAGCCTGGGCAACATAGCAAGACCCTGTCTCTTAAAATAAAAAATGGGAATCTGTAGGTAGACAGCTGCAGGGATCAGCCCTTCTGTGACTTTTTATTGTCTCTTTCCTCATAATCACAATACAGCTGCCACAGCTCCCAGCATCTTATCCTGACACCAGTATCTGTAGCACAGTCTCCTAACCTCCCTTCTCTTCCTTGAGTAGCTCATCACCCTGCGGGGCTCCATCCTGGAAGATGCCACGCCCACCGCCATGAAGCATGGGACCGGGCGGGGCCTCCCCCTGAAGGATGCCCTGGAGTATGTCATCCCCGAGCTCAACATCCACTGCCTGCGGCTGGCCCTCAACACCCCCAAGGTGACGGAGCAGCTGCTGAAGCTCGATGAGCAAGGGGTGAGCGAGGGGCTTACGGTGGGGGCCGTGGGAGCCGCGGCCTGCACCCTCCTCCTGGTGCCTTTCTGTCTTGGTCACTTGTGCTTTTGTTGTTGTCCTTGTTTCTTTGCAAGTAACAGAACCTACTTAAGCTAGTTTCAGCAAAAGGAGGGACCTAGTATCAAATTCAAAGGATGCTAAGAGTAGGAATGTAACTGGGCTTAGGAGGGAAATAGTCTGGGATGAGAAAGCCACTAGGTTTCTGTGTGTGTGTGTGTCCGTCTGTCTGTCTTTCCTCCCCGTCTCTGCACACTGCTCCCTCTACTCCCCGGGCCCCTCCTGCAGTGTTCCCTGTTACTGTTAGAATTACAGCCGCACGCAGACCCCAGCTGAGTGACTCTCAGTCCCAGGAGAGCCACTCACCGGCCTATGTGCAGGTGACCGGGGGAATCAGGTTACCTAAAAAGAGCGTGGTTATGGGGGGGCCGTTCCCTACCAAAAGTGTTGAACTCTGAGCCCTGAGGCCACCAGCTTTTGCTTTTGCAGAATCTCAGCCTGTCCCAGGCCAACTACTGTGGGAAGCCAGCCAGGGTAACCGTCTCTTGTACTCGAGAGTGGCATCGCCAGCCGCCCTCCCCCTGCCGTAGAGAGAGCAGGGACATGCCTGCAGTGCCTCTCGGAATGGGACAGCGGGGAAGGACAGCCGGGACATGCCCCAACGCCTTTTTCCTTCCTCTCTGGCTGTGGCTCTGAATTCCTGAGAGATCCCAGCGGCTCCCAGGGCTGAGTGCCTTAGAAATACCCCTTTGTTCTGTTCCCTCCGACATCCCTGCCTGGCCTGTCTCCATAAAGCCACTCTTGCCTCTGCAGCTCTGCCGGAAGCACAAGGTGGGCATCCTCTACTGCAAGGCTGGCCAGAGCTCGGAGGAGGAGATGTACAACAACGAGGAGGCCGGCCCAGCCTTCGAGGAGTTCCTCTCCCTCATCGGCGAGAAGGTCTGCCTGAAGGGGTTCACCAAGTACGCCGCCCAGCTGGACGTCAAGAGTAAGTGGGGGCCCAGTTAGGTCACAGTGAGCCACCACCGCACGCCCACATGACAAGCAAAGGTTGTAAGGCAGGGGTCCTCAAACTTTTTAAACGGGGCCAGTTCACTGTCCCTTGGGCCGTTGGAGAGTGCGGTGCACATTTCACACGTGTGCACTGTGGGCCGGGGACAAGTTGGCTGCTAAGCAGGACAGGCAGAGGCAGCAAAAACACCTGGCAGGCTGGATAAATATCCTCGGCGAGCTGCCGTTTGAGGACCCCTGTTGTAAGGCCTGGTGAGGGCCAAGCATGTTGGCTCACTCCTGTAATGCTAGCTCTCTAGGAAGCCAAAGCAGGAGGATCGCTTGAGCTCAGGAGTTCAAGACCAGCCTGAGCAAGAGCAAGACCCGTCTCTACTAAAAGTAGCCAGGTGTCATGGCATGTGCCTATAGTCCCAGCTACTCGGGGGGCTGGGACAGAAGGATCGATTGAGCCCAGGAGTTTGAGGTTGCTGTGAGCTTGGCTGATGCCACAGTACTCAAGCCCAGGTGACACAGCAAGACTCTGACTCAAAAAAAAAAAAATATTTACCCATGTTGTATCCATGACTCCTAGCTGTATATTTGACCATGGGGTGAATACACAGTGTGCTCAGCCATTCCTTGACTGACACTTGAAGGGTCTTACACCCTCAGCTAAGGACACACATGCGTGGTTCCTCTAGGCTGTGGTCTTAGGAGAGAAGGAGGTGCTGGCTTATGGATTAAGCCCGTCTTCAGATTTAAGTGATATTGCTAAAAAGTTTTCCAGAGCGGTTGTACCAATGTCCACACTTAACCAGCCACATAAAGGGTTCCAGTTGCTCCACGTCCTCACCAACGCTTGGTACTGTCAGACTTTTTAATTTTTACCAATCTGGTGGGTGTATACCATGAGGTTTCCTTTCTATCTAATTTTCTTTAATTCTGAAGAGTGGATTTAAGTAAAAGCATCAAGTTAAAAACCAGCACAGATGGCATGTGGGACATGGCAAAGACCCAGAGGTTTTAGAAGCACAGTGCTAACTGGTGTTTCTCTTGCAGCCGACTCCACGGGCACCCACTCGCTCTACACCACGTACCAGGACTACGAGATCATGTTCCACGTCTCCACCCTGCTCCCCTACACCCCCAACAACAGACAGCAGGTCAGTGATTCTTAGGGGTCACGCAGTCGGGCCCGAGGCGTTCTCCTCCTCTTGACTGTTGGCCGCTGCCTGCCCGGCACTGGGTCTCCTGGTACTGTCCCGTGGGTCAGATGGTGGCCCGTGGCTTTGAAGACGTTCTGTAACATAGTCACTTCACCTGGGATTAGCGACTAGGCCAGGTGTGGTTTGAAGTCCGTTTGGTACCACGTTTACCGCCTAAACGAGAAAGAAGGCATATGCAGATTTCTGCACCATTGACAATGCCACGAAAGACATTGAAGGGATGTGGAACGCTGGTGCCTTTCAGAGTGCACGGTGATTTGGGAATAGAAAGAATTTCTCCGCCAGGCGCGGTGGCTCACGCCTGTAATCCCAGCACTCTGGGAGGCCGAGGCGGGCGGATTGCTCGAAGTCAGGAGTTCAAAACCAGCCTGAGCAAGAGCCAGACCCCGGCTCTACTATAAATAGAAAGAAATTAATTGGCCAACTAATATATATAGAAAAACTTAGCCGGGCATGGTGGCACATGCCTGTAGTCCCAGCTACTCGGGAGGCTGAGGCAGCAGGATTGCTTGAGCCCAGGAGTTTGAGATTGCTGTGAGCTAGGCTGACGCCACGGCACTCACTCTAGCCTGGGCAACAAAGCGAGACTCTGTCTCAAAAAAAATAAAAATAAAAAAAAAAGAAAGAATTTCTCTGGGTTGGGTTATTATACATAGAAGTTTGTCGCTGCCCTGCGTTCCTGACTGTGAAACATGAATGTGTAGGCTAAGGAATAATTTCTCTTGATAAACAGTTAACAAATTAAAAAGAAAAATAGTACGCGTTGAGCTGCCATGGGCGTCTGGATTTTACACGTGAGCCCCTCACTGAGAGCGGCATGGGACTCCCGTCTGCGGGTCTCCTGCTACCAGCCCGGCTTCCTTAACAGTTAGTGTCTGTAATCTCCGCAAACAAGCGAGACGCTGTGGATACAACGTCACCTGTGAGGATAACGGAGTCTTCCTCGTAGACGGACGTTGGGGAGGGCAGGGCTCCCGCAGGCCAGTCTAGAGCCGCAGCTGCCCTGACCTCAGCTCGGGTGTCCAGGGAAGGGTCTTGGTGGCCTGGGACTGACCCTGCAGGCTGTCGCTGGTCTGACTCTTGTCCGTGAGTGTGGCTTTGAAGAAATCAGAGGCCACTGGCCTGTGATCTCCTTTAACGGGCACTATTTATTGAGCACCTCCTGTATGCCAGGCACCATTCTAGGTACCGAGGGTGCAGCAGTGGGCAGAGAACACAGCAGACAAAGTCCCTGTTCTTGTGGAGCCGACCCTGCAGTGGGAAGGGGAGCCTCTGTGTGCTCAGTGTCAATAAGTGCTCAGTGGTGGGGACAGAAAAAGATATGGGGTGTTGGGGGCAGGTGGATCTCGGATAAGTTAGCAAAGGCCTCCGTGTCTTGAATAAGACACCAGCAGACACCTGAAGAGATGAGGAAGGAAGCCATGCAGGGATCCAGGGGGAGAATGTTCTAGACCCCGGGAGCAGCCAGTGCAGAGGCCTTGAGGAGGAAATGTTTCTGGAGAATTTGAGGAACAGCAGGGGGCCATCATGGCTGGAGCAGAGGGAGTGTGGGGGGCGTGGGGGGCGTGGGAAATGTCAGAGAGGTGACGGGGCCTCCTGAGCCATGGTGGGGACCTCATCCTTCACGCTGAGTGAGGGGCGCCCTGGGGGTTTCTGAACAGAGGAGGGACATGACCCGACTCAGGTGTTCTCGGGCTCCTCTGGCTGTGTGGGGACAGACCTTGGGGGCAGAGTGGGAACACGGTGGCGACAGCGAGGAGCTATTGCGATGGTCCAGGCAGGACCCCAAAGCTGACTTGTGACGCTTTGCCCCCTCCGGTGCCCATTCACCAGCTGCTGAGGAAGAGGCACATAGGAAACGACATCGTGACGATCATCTTCCAGGAGCCCGGAGCACTACCCTTCACCCCCAAGAACATCCGCTCCCACTTCCAGCACGTCTTCATCATCGTCCGCGTCCACAACCCCTGCACCGACAACGTCTGCTACAGGTACGCACGGCCACACACCGCCCCGTCACACAGCTGGACGCTGTCGGGCCACCTGTGCCGCTCATTGCGGCCTCTGTAGGGGGGCTCCGGCCACACGTTCCCACGCCGTCTAGGAGAGCAGCTCTCCACCGGAAGGGAGCATGGCTCCGCGGTTTTGATAAGAGCCGTCAGGGATTTGTATTTGCTTGGAATCTTTTGTTGCGAATGGCAGAAAGCCCACCTCAGTGTGGCCCGAGACAAAAAGGCAGTTGTTCGCCGGCTCTCGGAGACAGCGGGCTCGGGCAGGGCTGGGTCTGCTCCCAGCTGCACATCCAGCAAAAACAAACTTTTCCTTTCCCAGGAGTTGCAACAGAAGCCCCAGATTTGAGGCTCACTGTCTTGGTGGGGGCCACGTGCTACCCTAGAGCCAAAATGACTGGCCGAGCCCGGCCACCAGGCCATGAGGACCGAGGGGGGCACCAGTGGTGGCCCAGAGGAAAACCAGACGGGGAGGCAGGGCAGGCAGGGCCCTCCTGTGGACGTGGCCGAGCTCGGGACATAGAGTTGAGGGTTTTCAGTTCACGTGATGACGAGTAGCACTGGCCTCTCACACCTGCTCTGTGTCCTTTCCGAGCATCAGTGCTCCCCCAGGCGGTGGCCGGCCCGGAAGGACGAATGAAGAGCGCTCAGCATGTGGGGCAGGAGATAGAGCAGTGGTCCTTGAAACACATCCGATAAGTGACCCAGGGCCAGGCCAAAGTCAGCACTTGTCCCTGGAGACTAGGGAATAGGCTGTTATGTTCCATTTTTTGAAGATGATTTGAAATTCAAAAGATACAAAAGCATATGCAGACAACTAAGGCTCCCTGCCACCCCTGACCCCCACCCGCCCAGCTGCCTTCACAGAGGCGACCGTGTTAGCCATTCTCGTGTCTCCTGGTATGTCATGCACACACAAGCAAGCGTGTACAATTACTCCTCTTCTGCCTTTTTAACAGAAATCGTAGCATATCATACATACTGTTCTGCATCCTGTATTTTTTCACTCAACAGTTTTTGAGATCTTTCCATACCAGGACAGAAAGAGCTTTTTCCTTCTTTATGACTGCTTAATATTCCATTGTGTGGACGCACGTGATAACCCTCCCCTGTCCTCTAGCGACGGGCACGTGGGCTGATGCCTGAGGCCTGCAATGCATAACCTAATTCGTGCTCTCACCGCACCCATGTCCAAGCCCACAGCTGTAGAATACATTCCCAGGAACGGAGGTGCTGGATCAGAGAGTGTGTGCGCGTGTGCACCGGCAGTCTTGGTGGCATCGCCAGCATCCACCTGTGTCTCAGCATGGCAGGCGGGAGAGGGAGGGCGTTGCAGTGGGCAGCGCCGGCGGTCGAGAATGGCTGTGCCGGATGTGCTGCCCACTGGCTGCTGGGCACACCCGCAGGCCTGAGACCCCCCCCCCAGCCTGTTTGTCCCCAGGACACGCAGTGGCAGCCGCAGAGTGCCTGCGCCTCAGGCTCTGTGTGGGGCTCAGGACCTTGGAGGATGCCAGGGTTTAAAGGTGTGTTGTTCCGCGGCGGCTGAAATGTGGCCCTGGTGTGTCACACAGACACGGTAGGAGAGGGGGCAGCGTTTGCAGCACATCAGAGGCGGGGGGTCGAGCTGGCTGGGGGGCCCTTCTCCCCTCCCCCTCCTACCTGGCCCGGCACAGTAGCCCGAGGCCTCCCGCCCTTCCAGGTCAGCCTCTGCGTGGTCCCCAGAGTGAGTTCTTCTCTCTGATGCACAAACCTTTCTCATTTTTTACAATTTAATTTAAAATAGTTTTATTACGCGATATTTTAAACATTCTGAAAAGTACAGAGAATAGTGTAACAGACACCCATGTGCCCACCACCAGATTTAACAGATGTTAACATTTTGCCTTATTTACTTCAGCTCTCCCTCTTTCCTGTATTTTTAAAAAAAGAAAATGTTAGAAAGACAACCAAAGCTGCCCCTCAGCCCCCTCCCCTCCCTGTCCCTCCCTCCGCACAGGCAGCTGTTCTCGGGACAGACTGGACCCCCGTCCACCCTGTGCAGGGCACCCGGCCACAGCTCTCCCGCTGACCTCCTGCCCCTCCGCCTGGCTCCCAGGTTGCCCCATGGTGAATTCCTAACTGTCCTCCAAGGTTGAACTTGGTGGCTCTGTCATCCTCCGGGGGTTCATTACCCCTTCCACGTGCTGTTGCCAGGCACGTTTCTGTGACAGTGCTTATCACACACACGTCAAAACAACTTGATGATGTGGCTCTTGTCTCCCTTGAGGGTGACCCCCTGTCACGTTTACCTTCCTGTATCCTTCATGGCATATAGCTGTCCCCAAGGACATCTTTGCTGAAGGGACAGTTGCCTGGCCCAAACATGGCAGGCGCTGAGAAAATAACTGTTGCATAAATAATTATGAGACTTCTACAAATGCTCACCAAGCTACCGTGATCAGGCGACCTGGTGTTCACACCATCTCCTGGTCGTATAAAGAGTCGTCATTCTTTGCTGTTTCAAGTCAGCCCATCAGTGTCTTCCTCCTGCCGGGAAGCGAGGGACCCACTCTTTTGATCGCCCAAAAACCTTCAGCAGTTTGCAATTTCATGATTCATAAAATTATGAATCAGGACTATGAGAAAAGCCAAAATCTGTCACTATAAACAGCCAAGTGCTGAATGAAGAAGTTGCAGAGCTCTTCACATCTGTAGAGCACAATCTGCCTGCCCCGTTGCTTAGAGCTGAGGGACCCGTGAGGCCGTCTCACCCATCCCCTGCCCGGGCACAGCCAGGCCCACGGGACTCCGCACAGGGGAAACTTGCCTGGTCTGTGTGGCATTCTTGGAAGAGTGTCTGCTCCTCGAGATGCCTCTTTCCATCAAACCTGCACCCACTGTCCTTTGGTAGGAATCTGTTTCTTCTGGGTCTGTCCACGTTTAAATCCTTGCTTCAGTCAGTATCGGGGACCTGCGGTGAATCCAGCAAACCCAGGGTCATTCCTGGGCCGTACAGGGTCACTAGACAGTGGACACTGGAGACGGAGAGCGAGGGGTCCGGCCTGGTCAGCCGGGGTCGCACGGCAGCTCCGTGCTGCTCTTCCGCACGTGTTGTTCTCCTTTAGTCCCTGTGTGAGGCAGCCACGGTGCTCTTTAAATACTGTCACCGCCAGCACCTGCATCCTTCAGGGACCCAGCAAGAAGCAGGTCCCCCTCGCCCCAAGACTTTTTATTTTATTTCTAACCTAGTTAGCCAGCAACTTACTAATTAGACGTGGACTTTCCTTGTTCAAAAGGAAACTCTTATTTTTGATCATTTGTTTCGTTTCTAAAGAGTCTCAGTGCGTTTCTTCCCACCGTCTAAATGATCTCTCCCTCCTCAGCATGGCCGTGACCCGATCCAAAGACGCGCCTCCCTTCGGGCCCCCCATCCCCAGTGGAACCACGTTCCGCAAATCCGACGTCTTCAGAGACTTCTTGCTGGCCAAGGCGATTAACGCGGAGAACGCCGCGCACAAGTCGGACAAGTTCCACACCATGGCCACCAGGACCCGCCAGGAGTACCTCAAGGACCTGGCTGAAAACTGTGTCTCCAACACCCCCATCGACTCCACCGGCAAGTTCAACCTCATCTCGCTGACCTCCAAGAAGAAGGAGAAGACAAAAGCGCGGGCAGGCGCCGAGCAGCACAGCTCGGGGGCCATCGCCTGGAGGGTGGCGGCCCAGGACTACGCCCAGGGGGTCGAAATCGACTGCATTCTGGGGATTTCCAACGAGTTTGTGGTGCTCCTGGACCTGCGCACCAAGCAGGTGGTGTTCAACTGCTACTGCGGGGACGTCATCGGCTGGACCCCGGACGCCTCGACACTCAAAATCTTCTATGGGCGAGGGGACCACATCTTCCTGCAGGCCACGGAGGGCTCTGTGGAGGACATAAGGGAGATCGTGCAGAGACTGAAGGTAAGGCAGAGGCCAGGCATGGCGCAGCGGTTCACGTGGTTTTGGCTGTAGGAGCCGCTTCCCTACCCAGTCGGTTAGGCTAAGACACTGACCGGCCTCAAGAGAATCAGGATTGTCACTTATGCGCTAGAGGTCTGGCGGGTCCTGCGAAAGGGGTTCCTTCTGGGGAAGGTTTGGACCGGGGATCCGAGGCTCTCCCGGCCTTACTGTGGAAGGACAAGAGACATCAGTCCTAGAGGTTGGTAGAAAATGTAAGTTTAAGCTTATGTTAAAAATGTAAGAGTAAGAGCACTTTCTAGAAGAATTAAAACATAATGTAAAGGTTCCAGGCCATTAAAGGATAAGGGAGAGGCAGAGGGAAAAAAAATATGAGAAACCGTGATAAAAGAAACAAAACAAATGTATAATTATGTGACAGGCATAAGTTGCATGTTAGTAATCACAATAAATGTGAGTGGTTCAAATTGCCCTATTAAATGACAAAGACTCACAGTCACCTAAACTCCTGGTTGAACAGCTCAGACCATTGACCAAATCAAGAGTGGCAGATGGATAACAACCTAGTTGGTAATATCTGCCTGAAGCCATGTGCTAAGAAGTACTTAGGTCATATCTGAGCTCCACGAGAAGGAACACTGTGGTCAGTGATGGCCTGTGCGGTGGGTTTAGCAGAATGACATGTCATGCATGCTAAGTTAGAAAAGGCAGCGTAACACAGGAGTGAAGAGCACGGGTTCTGGGCCGGGCCTGTAATCCTCACACTCTGGGAGGCCGAGGCAGGAGGATCACTTGAGCTCAGAAGTTCAAAGCAGCCTGAGCAAGAGGGAGACCCCGTCTATACTTAAAATAGAAAATGTAGCTGGGTGGCGCGTGCCTATAGTCCCAGCTACTCAGGAGGCCAAGACAGGAGGATCCCTTGAGCCCAGGAGTTTGAGGTTGCAGTGAGCTGTGATCACGCCATTGCCCTCTAGCCTGGGTGACAGAATGAGACTCTGCCTCAAAAAAAAAAAAAAAAAACACAAAACACGGGTTCTAGAGTCAGAAGGCCTGGCTTCAAGTCCTGGCACTGCCACTTACCAGCTGTGTGACCTTGAGCCAAGTTATTTAGCTTTGTGACTCAGTTTCCCCATCTGAAAAATGGAAATGAGAATCATCCCGCATCATGTCCAGGTTTAAGGAGTAGATGAGTTATGTTGCCCAGACAGGCTTACCTGACTTGAGTGGCTGTGACCTCCCTGTGCCACTGTGACTGGTGGCTGTCCTCACCCTCCTAGGCCTTTGTGCTCTCGTTAAGTTCAGGAAGTATTGGTTGGTAAAGAGCTGCTCTCAGCTGTCCTCCATCTGGGCCTCCATCTCTTTTACTCACTCGCCTGTCTGCTGTGCCTAGAACGGGGCTGGCACGTAGTAGGTGTTCAGTAATCACTCGTTAGTTGGTCCATCGAATGAGTTTACTGAACCCTGCTCTGTGCCAGGCATTTCACATGCATGATCTCCCATAATTTTCACATCCACCCCATGAAGTTTAGGTCCTGTTCTTGTCCCCACTTGCCAGAGGAGGCAACTGAGGCTCAGAGAGAGATGGGCACTCACATGAGGTTGTTTAGCCAGGAAGTGGCAGAACTAGGGTCTGAATCCAGGTTTTTCTGACTCTGAAGCCTGCCTGTGCCCAAACTCAAAACCAGTCTCTAACTGCTCACTCAGTGTCTCCACCCAGGTGTCTAAGCGACCCCTAAAACTTAGTAAGTCCAAGAGCAAACGCCTGGTGTTCCTCCCACCCCTCTCAGTTTTCCTGTGCCAGGAAAGGCGAAGTCTGTCCCTCTGTTTGGTGACGTCAGGTGCCTCGGCGTCAGCATGGCTCCCTCTCGTGCCCACGGCCGTCAGTTCTGCCTCAGTGGGCAGCTGCCAGCTGCTGCTTCCCCTTCCATGGCCTCCACCCTGGTCTCCCTCACCTCTGCCCTTGCTTCCCTGTCACCTCCTCTCAGCACGGTGGTCAGAGGGACCCGATCAGGTCACTGCTCTGCTCCCAACCCCCAGCTCACTCTAGGTAGAAGGCACAGTCCTTGGGTGGCCCAGGAGACCTCGTATGGTTTGGCTCCCTGTTGACGTGTCTGACCTTGTCTCTCTGTCACACTCTGCCCCAGCCACGCAGGCCTCTGCTGTTTCTCAGGTGTGCTAGACAGGTGCCTAGCCCCAGGGTCTTTGCACTTCCTGTGCCCTCCCCAATCACTTTCCCTGATCCCCACGTGGCTCCCTCCCTCCCTTCTTGCAGGCTTTTGGTGTGTGTCACCTTGTCAGTGAGGCCCTGTGATCTAAGGTTGCAAAGCCCCTTCCTGACGTGGCCCCGAGCATACTCCTCCACTTTGCCTGCTTTGCCATCATCTGCCACGTCTTTGTGTATCTGCTCACTGCTGTGTCCTCAGCACCTAGGCCAGCGTCTGACACGCAGCAGACACTTACCAAGCGTGAACCGAGCGCGTGCACAGATGCATGCTCTCCTGTAGTGACAGCATAGCGAGCGTTTGGGGAGGGCCAGCTGTGCGTCAGACCCTGCTCAGCGCTTTGCATGGCTTTACATTTCTTCTTCGCAAAGCCAGTGAGGCAGATACCGTTGTCATCCTCGCTCCACAGGTGCAGAAACTGAGGCCCAGAGAGAGTTAAGAGCCTGGGTTCTTAAACATTAGGCTATTCCGTCGCTCAAAGTCCTGGCGGCAGCTGGCGTTTCTTGAGCGGGGACCATGCCAGGCCCAGTGCCAGGTTACATGTTTTACCCACGTCCTCTCTGTGCCACTCTGTCCCACACCCACCCCCGTGCCTACTGTTGGCGCAGTCCCTGCAGAGCACATTTCCGAAGCCATCCCCCACCCCCAGCCTCAACACCCAAAGCCTGCTGAGGAGCCAGTGGGCAGGAAACGATGACATCAGCCATCTCCTATGGAGGGGCAGGCCCAGCTTAAGTGACTCGTGATGGGGAGTCTGTCTTCCTTGGGAAGCTGCAGGGTGAGGATTCCATACCCTCGCCTGGCAGAACGGGGGTTCAGACCCAGGCGGCCAGGCTGCCTCGACCACCCTAGACGTCCTAAGCTAATGGCATCATATCGTTTGTTAATTGAACGAGTTTTCTTATGTGTCTGGCCCTGGACCAGGCAGTGCCGGGACACAGCAGTGACCTTATATAATGGGCCCAGGCCTGCCTTCTTGGGGCTCCCATCCAGGGCAGGTATTGAACAAGCAATTGCAAGGGCCAAGAGCTTAAAAAGGGGGGTGTCAAGGGTGCCAGGACAGCCCATCACAGGGACCCACATCAGACAAGTACTGAAGTAGGGTGCTGGGCACCCCCTCTATATGGGGGCACGAGTGCACCCCTTGCCCACGGTGCGCACCCACCCACATCTCCTGTCCACGTTACCGCCTGGCACCCACGCAGCGGAGCAGGACGGGCTGGAGAGGGCCTCCCTGAGGAAATGACTTTAAACTGAGACTAGGACAATAAGTAGGAATCATCCTGCTGAAGAATGCGGGTGGGGAGCTCATTTTTGCTTATTTTTATTTTTTAAATTTTTTTTAGAGACAGGGTCTCACTTTATCACCCAGGCTGGAGTGCGGTGGCCCAATCATAGCTCACTGTAGCCTCAAACTCCTGGGCTCAGGCGATCCTCCTGCCTCAGACTCCTGAGTAGCTGGGACTACAGGCATGTCCCACCACTCTCAGCTAATTATTTTTTGTAGAGACAGGGTCTTGCTGTTTCTCACGCCTCCCGAAGTGCTGGGGTTATAGGCATGAGCCACTGTGCCCGGCTCTCATGTTTAAATAAAATTAATGAACTTAGTAAAAGAGAAAAGTGGCCGCGGGAACAGTATAGCAGCAGGCCGTTCAGCAGTGTGGCTAAAAGCAAGGGTTAAGAGTCATCTGCTTTATGATCCTGGGCAAGTGATATTACCCTCAGTTTCCCCATCTGTAAAATAAGAAAAATTAGTTCTACCTACCTCAAAAGTCAGATAGCAGTGAAGTCGGGCATATAACGGGTTTAACCAATACCTGGTGCACAGATCCACCCCAGGAAAATCAGCTCTGACAAGGGGGCCCTGGGCCATGTGGCTGCATGCGACAGCAGAGGTGTTTTGAATTGGTTTTTGTGTTTGGTGTCATAAGCTGCCCCCTCTGCCCTGTGTCCCTTCCAGAATCTTGTCGATGTCAGGACTGGTTCTCCTCATGTAAGACCTCCTTTGATTTTCTATAAAAGCAATCGAGACGGAAGTTTCAGGACAGGAAGAGACAGAGCGGCTCTCTCGTCCTCATCTAAAGTGATCCAGAGCAGCTGTGGTAGGTCGCTACAGACTGAGCTGCTGAAATAGACTGGGATCCAGGAGCCGAAACAAGATGGGAGTTCATATTCTTAGTCAGCATTCAGGCTGCCTGAGGCTGGCAGGGACAGCTTGGGGGCTCAACCTTGTGTCTCCCCTGTTCTCTTGTACGGAGGCAAGAACCATCCTTCCACAAGGTCAGACTGGGTCACTCTGTAGCCACGTTCCTGTCTGAATTAAGGGAGGAAATGTGAGTGTGGAGGGCAGCAATTTTATTTTTAAGAACATGAGTTAGGAGTTCCATCAGTTCGTATCCTGTTGGCCAAAACTGAGTCGTACGTCTATACCCAGCTGCAAAGGAAGCTAAGAAATGCGGTCCCTAACTGGGTGGCCGTGTGCCCTTGGAACCCTGTTTGGGGTCTGATCACTACAAGGAAGAGAGTGAAAGTGGAGAGTGGATCACAGTGGGCAGTCCCCGCCAAGGCAGCGTGTGTTGAGTCGGCACCTGCGTAGACTCTTTCCAGGCCTCTTTGGAAGGTTGGCCCCTCCCCGTGGGAACAGCCGGGACGCTGAGGGCTGGTGTGGCCTGGTTGGTCATGGGCAGGAACATCGGACTTTGCTAGATAAGCCACAGCCAAACCCTTCGGGCACAGGAGTGACTGCTTCAAAGGGAAGAAGAATTTTGATTCCTAAAGCAGCAGTAGTGGGCTAAGATAAATGAATACAGTCCAATTTTACTTTTTAATTGTGGAAAATTCTAAACATACACCGAAGTAGAAGAAATTGTATACGAGCCCCTGTCTCCATTGCCGGTTTCAGTGGGATCAACTCATGGTTAGTTTTGTTTCTACCTTCCCCCCAATTATTTTGAAGCAAATCCTAGACATTATATCATTTCACCTGTAAACATTTCAATGTTTATTTTTAAAAGATACAGACTCAAAAAATACCAATTTTTTTTATCATACATAAAAAATTAACAGTAGGCCGGGCGCGGTGGCTCACGCCTGTAATCCTAGCACTCTGGGAGGCCGAGGCGGGCAGATTGCTCGAGGTCAGGAGTTTGAAACCAGCCTGAACAAGAGCGAGACCCCGTCTCTACTATAAATAGAAAGAAATTAATTGGCCAACTAATATATATATATATATAAAATTAGCCGGGCATGGTGGCGCATGCCTGTAGTCCCAGCTACTCGGGAGGCTGAGGCAGAAGGATTGCTTGAGCCCAGGAGTTTGAGGTTGCTGTGAGCTAGGCTGTCGCCATGGCACTCACTCTAGCCTATGTAACAAAGTGAGACTCTGTCTCAAAAAAAAAAAAAAAAAAAAAATTAACAGTGATTTATTATTGTCAAATAGGTTGCCACCCATGAATGGGCTATGAAATCAATTACTGGGTCTCAATAATTTTAAAGGATATGTGTCTTAGTCTGTTAGAGCTGCTATTAACAAATACCTAGCAGGGCATGGTAGCGCACCCCTATAGTCGCAGCTGTTGGGAAGGCTCAGGCAGGAGGATCGCTTGAGGCCAGGAGTTCGAGGCTGCAGTGAGCTATGATCGTTCACTGCTCTCCACCCTGGGGAACAGAGTAAGACTCTGTCTCAAAAACAAAAAGCATGCCTTAGACTCGGGTGGCTTATGAACAACAGAAATTTATTTCTCACAGTTCTAGAGGCTGGGAAGTCCAAGATCAAGGTGCTGCCGGAGTCAGGGTGTGGTGATGGCCCCTTTTCGGGTCACAGATGGCACCTTCTTACTGTGTCCGCAGACCAAGCGAACAAGCTCCTTGGGCCTCTGTTACAAGAGCACTATCCCATTCGTTAGGGCTGCACCATAGCAGTAGGACAGGAAAGAATCAACGTATCAAAACGCATCTTGCGTAAAGATAAGTACTATTTGTGAAGCATTGCTGTAGTCATACGTGTCCTCCCAAATTCTCACTCTCCAAATCAGTAACCAGAAAGATGTGGTGACGTGTTCAGATAAGTCCGTTGCCATCCAGACTCTTACCTGCTGCCCACAACGTGACCAGTCTGCATAGCAGGGCGTATCTGTGGCTGTGGATGTGTGCGTCAACGTGTGACTACGTAGACCAGTTTGTGACATAAAATTATTTCTTACTTGGAGCAGTGGTCAGAAAAGCATGAAAGCTAGCACTTTAATAGGTACGTTACGTAGCAGAATTTCTAGCCAGGGAATGACTTCTCCCAGGAAACATGAACCGTTACCTGTTCTCTTTCCATAATGCAATGTTAGGAAAGGACAGGCAGATCACGATGTAACTTGCTGAGCAGCCATGGCTTAAGTTCATCTTGTTGTTATCCCCAGAAGAAGAGGGAGTGATTGGTGCCATGCTGAGCAGCAGGGAGTCCTTGCAGGCGTGGTAATGCATCTTCCTGGGGAAAACCTCACACAGGTGGAGCAGGGAGAGGTTGGAGGGAAGCCCGTGTGTGGTCTGGCGGCTGCATGCGGGGAAGGTGTGAGGAGATGGAGAATAGGACAGTGTCAGGAAGGAAGAGAATGTGGTGTGAGCTAATCTAGAAAGGATCCTCGCACTGCTGGTCTGTTGCTCCTTATTTTGGTTAGAGTCGCTGTGTGCATCAGGATACCATTTAGCGGCTTTAAATCACAAAGGTTTATTTCTTGCTCGTGCTGTCTGTTCGCTCTGGGCTCGGCTGGGGGCCTGCTCCGCGTTGCTGCAACGCTGGGACGCCAGCTGCCCAAGTAGCCACCGTTGTCTACAATGTGAGTGCTCTCTGTGGCATAGGGTCACACTGGCGACTAAATACCCCACCCGGAGGACATGCCAATTCCACTCACAGCTTTTTGGCCAAAACAAGTCCCAGAGCCCCCCCACGCCCACCCACAGGGAGCTGAGAAGTGCCGTCCCACTGGCCGTGGGAACGAGGGGGACAGGACGTTTAGAGGATGTATTAGTAGCCCCCGACTGCCGTGGTCTCTGCAAGGCGACAAGCCACAGAGTTGCAGCTCCGAGTTTCCTCTCCAGAAACCAGGACGCGGAAGCGGGTTGAGGCTACGGGGACATTCACCCCGCCGGCACCCGGCGTGGCCTGGGAGGGCGGTGGGGGTCAGCAGGTCTTTGGCCTACGGGGGTGGGGGTCTGACCCAACAGCTTCTGTTCAGGTGACCGTGCCGTTGCCTGCAGGTGATGACCAACGGCTGGGAGACGGTGGACATGACCCTGCGGCGGAACGGGCTCGGGCAGCTGGGCTTCCACGTGAAGTACGACGGGACGGTGGCCGAGGTGGAGGACTACGGGTTCGCCTGGCAGGCTGGCCTCCGGCAGGGCAGCCGGCTGGTGGAGATCTGCAAGGTGGCCGTGGTCACACTGACCCACGACCAGATGATCGATCTGCTGCGCACCTCAGTCACCGTGAAGGTGGTCATCATCCCCCCTTTCGAGGATGGCACGCCCCGGAGGTAAGGCCACCCACCCCGGAAGGCGCAGCCTGGTGGGCTCATGGTACAGGATGGGGGGTGGGGAGAAGTTCTAAGAAGGAAACGAAAGCAGGGCGAACCGAGGGGCTGCAGCATGACTGGAGAGCGGCTTACAAGGTGGGTAGCGGCGGCAGCCATGTGATTTTCTGGGGCAAACAGGCTCCAGACGGGAGCCAGCCGGGGCGCAGTCTCCCACTCGTGCACTGCATGGCGTGTTCCTGGGGCTCAGGGAGACCCGTGCGGCCGAAGCAGCGTGAGCAGGGGGACAGCTGGGAGCAAAGGACAGAGAGGCGTGGGGCAGATTGGGGGGGCTCTTCGGGCCACGGGAGTAGCTCAGGTTCCATCCTAAGGCAGTGGGAAGCCGGCGGAGGACTTGCTGCTTGTGTTTCATTGCTTAATGGAATATCACAAATGCCGTGAAAGTAGACTGAGCCCCCAGTTTGAACATGTGTCCACATGTGGCCAGTTTTTTTTTTTTTTTTTTCCTGAAGAAAGTCAGCAGGTAAGTTTTTGTTTTTTGATCTTACGATTTCTATATCCTCTTCCCCTGACCCCGCACCTTGGATCATCGGGAACGATCCCAGACCTTGGAATGTGTCCCTACACAGCCAGGACCTTTTTTTCTTATTACACTTAGCAAGTGTGACGGTAATTCCTTAGTATCAACTGTTTCTTAAAAACAGTGGTTTTGTTAATCAAGATCCTCCTGTTCCATTTGGCCTACGTGTCTCTTCAGGTCCTTTGAATCTGTAAGCTTCCCTTTCATCTTTTTTTTCTTTTTTCCTTGCAGTTTAAGTTGGGAAAGAAACCAGGTCATTTGTCCTTAGAGTTTCCCACTTCCTGGCGTTAGCCTCCCATGGCGTCCGGTAACCTGTTCCTCCCAGCACAGGTGTTTTCCGTAAACGACTTAGAGGCGGGAGCTTGATCGGGTTCCACTTGAATGTCCTTCAGTCACACGCCTCTAGGTGTGCGTCCTGGGGGAGGCGTTGTGTGTCTGGTGTCCCTGTGTGGGTTTTGCGAGGCAAAGCAGAGAGTGTTTGGACCGTGGCAGCCTGACCCGTTACCCATCCCCCCTCGGCGGGGCAGGTGTGTGCGGGCTCCGCCTGGACCCGTTATGTCATTACGGGTCACAGAGGAGTGATGTCTCGATTCTGTCATTCCTTCTTCGTTTATTGGCTGGAATTCTTCTGAAAAGAACTTTCCTTCAGTAGCTGTTGGGTTACTCTGAGGTATAATTTGTGCAGGGAAGGCAGGATAAATACCGTTTCCAGAATAGTGAGCCAGTCCCTCAGCAGTCTCCAGAGGTGACCAGTGAGAGAGAGAATCACCATGGTCTAAGCTCTGGGAACACAGTGACACAGAGGACACAAGGCCTTGGCCCTAATGCAGCTGATGAGTGGGTCAGGGGAGGCAAACAGTAAACAAGTAAACAAGAGTATTTCAGATAGCGGGGGCGGGGGGCACTGGAGCATCGTGGGAAAGGCAGGCTCTACAGTGAGGGCACCTTGGTTCGAATCCCAGCTCTTCCCCATATTACCTGTGACCCTCGGCAAGTGGCCTTACCCCCGTGCCTCAGTTTCTCCATTCATAAAATGAGGACGACTACAGAGCCTTTCCAGAAAGGTGGTTGTGAAGTTGGAGGTAAGACTTGTGAAGCACCTAGGGACTGTCCTAGGCCCCTCTAGAAGGCTCTAGAGACACGAGCTCTGAGATACTGGGTGTGAGGCAGACACAGGGCACTAAGCTAACATTGGGCAGGGAGGGCAGGGGGCCTGCAGGTGAGAACGGAGTCCTGCTTGTTGCCAGGTCAGAAAGTGCAACTGTGGGGCTGGAGCAGATTGAGCCAAGAGGAGGACACAAGATGGGGTGACAGTGAGTGCCGTATCACATGTTACCTCGCTAGGCTCATGTGATCCCCACTGTACAGATGAGAAAACCGAGCCCAGAGTGGACAAGTCGCTGGTGCAGAGTAAGTGGCAAAGCAAAACTCAAATCCAGGATCGCCTGTCCCTTTTACTCTGTCACCTCTGAACACCTCGAGAGCTACAGGGTCGCGAGTGTGAGTGCTCCATTCACGCCTTCCTGAGTCACGAGTGCTCTGAACGTGGCGGGGGACAGTTCTGGGCTGGCCCAAACCCTGAAGCCAACGGCTTGGCCACCCACATCCCCCAGATTCAGAACTCAGTAAGCCCCAGGCAGCCCCTGCTCCCAGCCTTCTTCCCGAGACTTCTTCCCCCTCTGCACGGGGCCAAGGCCCAGCCGCGCCCACTCGGGTCTCTGCAAGGGCAGGTCGAGCCCAGGTAGCCCCACAGGCGAGTTCCCTGGCGGTTGTGCTCGTCAGGCAGGGACGGGGTCCCTCTGCTTCGCTCCCCACACACTGTCACACCCTCAACGGTGTGCAGATGGGCCGGACACGGGGAGTGCGAGAGAGGCCACAAGGGGCTCCCCGAACATGCAGGTGGGGACAGACTGAAGCGAACATCAGAGTCCGCAGTTCTCTGGCTTTGGGGAGACGAGGCCAGGGAGGGTGCAACCAGACAGACGAGTTCTGCTCCCTGCCCTATTTGGGAGGAAGGCTTACCATCCCGCTCTGTTTACAAGGCGGCTACTGAAACAGGATCTCCTGTTTGCAGGGGCGGGTGTGGGTTGAGACTTGGGTGGTTTTTGTTGTTCTCCAAATGCAGAGGCGTCTGGCTGACCTCATTTGCAGAGCTGATAACCCCGGCTCTGGAGTCCCTCCAGCCTCCAATGTCTGTCTCAGTGAGCCCTAAGGGGAGGACACCGGGTAGGGGCAGAGGTGCCCTTGCTGCCACCAGCCAGGCTGCACGGCATCTGTCCCAACCCCATGCTCTTCAGACACTGAGGACAGTGCAAGGAGTCATCCTCCCACGCCCCTGGCACACTGCCCTGGGCTGGGCCACCCAGCTGAGAGGACATCCTGAGCCTCTGATAAGATGCGTCACCAGGACCTTGGGCACTGGTGCAGGCTCGGGAGGGATGCTCTTGTCTCACTGTCTCTATTGCTGTTGACGGAGATGGCAATTGGGAATGTTTTTCTCCCAGTTAGATCTCAGGCCTCTGGTCAGGGAAGGCTGGAAGTTCCTCCCCATAAAGGGAAATCGAAACCCCATAAGTGAGCGAGTGGAAGAGATAAGAAAGGAGTGCCTGTGGCCCCCCAGAAACTGGGCTATCGGGACTCAAGGAAAACGAGGCAGGGAGGGAAATTGCTCAGAGCTGGGGGGTGTTCCCCCCAGACACCTCCCCCATGTGAGCCAGCAGGTTGGGGCGGAATATTTATGAATACCTGTGGTGTAGGCAGAAAACTAAGAGCAACCTACATATCTGTCTATAGGGAACTGGCTGCGTAAATCCCACATCATCTGGGTGTTGCAGTATTCATCAATCGTTTCAAGAAAATGAAGGGAATGTGTTTTGCTGAGAGTGCATAGTGTGATATATTAATTGGGGCAAAAAACAAGGTGCTATACAGGAGGATAGTGTGCTATTTTTTTATTACTATTTAAATAATGATTGCTCGCCTGCATAGGATATTTCCAAAAGAATACGCAAAAAACTAGGAGCCATGGCTGCCTCTGGTGGGTGAAACGGGGATGAGGACAGGAGGCAGGGACGACCTTTGAAGACCATTCAGAAATTAAATCAGTGCAGTGCGGCTTCTCAAATGTGAGTCGGTGTCCAGCCTCAAGGGGGATTCTGATCCTGATAAGCTGAGGCCGGGCTCAGGAATTTGTATTTTTGCTGAATACTCAGGGTGATCTAGATCAGGCGTCCTCAAACTTTTTAAACAGGGGGCCAGTTCACTGTCCCTGAGACTGTGGAAGGGCTGTTGGAGAGTGCGGCGCACATTCCACACATGCGCACTATGGGCCCAGGACGAGTTGGCTGCTAAGCAGGATGGGCAGCGGCGGCAAAAACACCCGGCAGGCCAGATAAATGTCCTTGGTGGGCTGCATGTGGCCCGCAGGGCCGTAGTTTGAGGACCCCTGATCTAGATGCTGCTGATTTTCAGATCACCAGGAAAAGCTGGAGAAGAGGACCTGGGGAGGAATTTTTTCCAGAGCCCGCAGGTGGTGTAGGTGGATTTTGGAAAGTGGAAGGCAGGCTCGAGCTTCGGAGCTTATGGAGGGCTGGGTAGACAGTCCACAGAATCAGCTGGAGAGAGCAGCAGCGCCAGCTCTGATTGGTTAGACGTTTGGCATGCACCAGACTCCCTGCTCATGCTTGTAGAATGCCCACGGCCAACCCCATCTTACAGATTAGGAAACTGAGGCTCTGAGAAGGAAATCCTTCACCCAGAACCCCACGGTGGGTAACAGCTGGGGTCTGAGCCAGCCATTCAGCCCAGGAGCCCTGGCTCTCTGCTGCTCTGTGCTGCCTTCAATGTGATTGAATATTGTTTCCCTCCTTTTTTGTTGTTTAAGAGACAGGATCTCATTATATTGCCTAGTTTGGTCTTGAACTCCTGGACTCAAGTGAGTCTGAGTAACAGGACTACAGGCACACACCACCATAGCCAGCTGTTTCCCTCTTTGAAGTCATATCCAGGGGCCCCTGGCCCAAGGTGAAGCTGTCGGTAACTAGGGAAAAGGTCAGGGACCCAACATCTCTACCTACTGGCTCCCAAACCCACTGCACAGTGAGCCATTGTGCGTGGTGGTTAAAGTTGTGGGCTTTGGAGTCAACTCATTATATTTAAATCCAGTTTCTATCTCTTACTAGCTGTGTGACCTTGGACAAGTTACTTAACTTCTCTGTGCATCAGTCAGCTTATCCCTAAAATGTGATCTGATCAGGACTCTGGGTACCAGCAAGAGAACAAACTCAAACATGATGGAGCAAAAGAGTCTTCCCTGGCTCAGGTGCCTGACAAGACTAGGAGCAGGGAAGGTGTAGACACGGCTGTATCTAGGGGCTCAGACACCATGGTCGGGAGTCTCATCATCTGTCTCCTTTTCTGTGTTGCTGCCATTGTCGGGCGGTCTCCCACTTCCTGGTGATAAAGGTGACTCCCACACAGCTGTGGGCGTAGGTCCCGCCCTAGCTCAGCAGCTTCAGTGGAAATAGATCTTTTCCCCCAATAGTTCCAGAAACAGTTCCTCACTGCCTCTGATTGGCCCTGCTGAGGGCACTTGCAGTCTCTTGCTTGTCACTGTGTCCAGGAGGACACAAGTTTCTGATTGGTCAGGCCTGGGTCACATGCTCACACCTGGAGCCAAGAAGTGGGGTGAGCCCCACCCTGAGCACACAGACCTATTATCAGGAGAAGGGGGCGCAGAAGCCAGGCCGGGCAGGAACGGCAGGTGTGTTGTTGTCGTTCCTCTCCTGGTGCCTGGTGAGGCGTCGGCACCCACCAGTCCGAGGAGGCGGCCGGAAGGAATTGCTGAGGGTCAGCTCCCACCGTGATGCCGCCGAGGGGCACGGTATGTTGGGCCCCCGTGCCAGGGCACGTCCTTGGTCCACCTTTTGATGACTCCTTACCAGCGTGTCCTGGGCCCACAGCCTGTGTCTTAGTCTGTCTGTGCTGCTAGAGCAGAACACCTAAAACTAGGTAATTTACAAAGAGCAGCCGTGTATTTCTCGCAGTTCTGGAAGCTGGAGGCCCAAGATCAAGGCTTTGGCAGGTTAGGGCCTGATCTCTCTGCTTCCAAGATGGTGCCTTGCGTGCGGCAGCCTCACATGGCAGAGAGCAGAGGAGAAGAAGAACCCGCTCCCACAAGCCCTTTTTATGCTGCCTGAGTCCATCATGAGGGTTTCACCCTGAAAGCGTCCCATTAGGCCCCACCTCCCAGCAGTTCCATTGCGGATTAACTTTCCAACACATGACTTTTGGGGGACCTGGCAGCCTCTGGGCCACCAAGTCCACCAGAGGTTTTGCCGGGTGGCCACGAAAGTTCGCCGGCCCCCAGGGATCTCAGGAGAGCCTGGAGGACTGGCTCATTGGGGGTCTGAGAGCTTCCAGGCCCCACAGCTCAGCTCGTACAGCTGCCGGGAGGTGGATTTCGTGATCCTAGGTCCCTAGTGGGGCTCGGAGCCCCTTCCGGAGCAGCTCTGCTGCAGCGGTGGAGGCCGCCGGCCGGCGATGTCCTCGAGCCGGGAGCGCTGCGACGTGCGTGCCAGCCTGGCCTAGGGGGAGTCACGGCCGCTCCGCATCTATTTCAAGGTTCTGGATTTCGTGGCTTTTTTTTTTTTTTTTAACCACCCTGCAAAGTAGGTCACCTGCTCCTCTTCCAGCTGCCTTTGAGATTCTTTGGAACAAGGCAGATACTGTCCTTTGATTCCGAGGGCATCCGTCTTTTTGGCCCCAAGAACAGCTAAGGGGGGCCCAGCCGGTCCGCGGAGGGCACCGGTGGACTTGAGGCCGGGGTCAGGTAGAAGGGGGAGGAGGGGAGAGGAGATGACGTAGGAAGGGCCTGGCAGTCAGAGCCCCTGAGTTGGGCCCTGTCCTGCTTGAGGACTCTGAGCTGGTAAGTTTCAGACCAATTTAAAGGGCATCCACTCGGTTTTTGAAATAGGCCGGCACGGCTTGCATTTGGCCGGGAAAGCCCAGCCTCGGCAGCAGGCACACGTGCCGGTGAGCCGGGGCCTTTCTGAGTAACAAAGTTTCTCTTCCCAGGGGGTGGCCAGAGACCTATGACATGAATACCTCGGAGCCCAAGAGCGAGCAGGACAGCGTCACACCCGGGGGCCGGCCCCCCTACCGCAGCAATGCTCCCTGGCAGTGGAGCGGGCCCGCGTCCCATAACTCTCTACCAGCCTCCAAGTGGGTCGCGCCGGCCACCCCTGGCCATGCCCAGTCCCTGAGCCGGCCCCCAAAGCAGGCCCCCATGGTCCCCTTCCGGGAGTCCCAGCCACTGCACAGCAAGAGGTAAGGACACGCCCCGCCCAGCCTCTCCCGCTCTGGGACCTTCTCTCTCCTCCGTTTTCCTCCATCCTCTTCCTCGCCTCTGCCCCCACCTATCCTTGTGTCTCTGTCCCTCCCTCCCTCCCTCGTTCAAGGGCCCAGTGCTGGGGAGCTCACTCTGTTTTTTTAAAAGGTAAAAGGACTGATGAGCACAAAATGTAGATCAGTGATTCCTTCTGGGGGGGGGGCAGGGAAATGGGAAGTGGGGGTCCATGGGTGGCGGTTGTTGCCCCTGTGCCTGTCCTGGGATTGGGCGAAAGCTTCAGGGAGTTTGTTTTACTTTAATGACAAATACAACCTACAGATACGCTTTTGAATATATTATATATTAAAAGATGAAACTTTCCAAAAAATGAATAAACCCAATTTGCAGAAGAATGTCTCATCCCAGGAGAGGGTGAGAACCACCGTCTCTGGCAGCCCCGTCACACTGCAGAAACGGGGGATGGGGGCAGGAGTGGAACCTGGAAGAAGGGACACGGGGGTGTCCTGGCTTCCCACCGCCCTGTGCTCGGCATCTGTCTCTGTCCAGAGCGGCGACAGCGGAGGGCATGTGGCTGGGCCTGTCTCTCCGTCCTCGTCCTCGGAGAGCAGGGCCCGCCCGTTCACCCCCTGCCCCTTCCTCTCCTGTCTGTCATTTCAGGCCTGTCAGCTTCCCAGAAACCCCTTACACAGCATCACCAGCAGGGGCCGACAGAGTCCCTCCCTACCGGCAGCCTTCTGGGAGCTTCTCCACCCCCGGCTCGGCCACCTACGCGAGATACAAGCCATCCCCAGAAAGGTCAGAATCTCTTCATTCTTTTCAAATTAAGGGGCCTGATGACAGCCGGGTGTGGATCCTTCTGCCCCAGGACATGCAGCCCCCACAGTTGTATTTGCCATTTTGTGAGGTTTCTGGAGCCCTAAAGGTCATCGGGGGATCCTCCCCAGCCGGTTTGCTGTGTCTCAGGTTAAAATTCAGCGCTGTTCCTTTTGTAGTTGATAAGCCTGACAGTTGGGTTTTCGTGCTCCTGTGTGAGACGTCCCTGCGTCACGCCCTGTTAGGACATCAGCACCGTACCTGGGTGACGTAAAAGAAGGGGGTGCTGAACTGGGCTGGGTGGGACTCAACCTTGGCTTTCCTCGCAGCAGAATTTTGACCATTTGGCCATTTTCTTGACACCTGCATCCCTGGTTTGAGCAAGACTTCCCTCCAGCACGCTGTTTGTCTGACTCTCTCTAGCCCCAGCCCTGAGAGCAGACCATCAGCATTATCCAGTCTTTGTGATCTTTCGGGCGTTAGTCCTGCCCCCTTGGAGCCATCCCCAATCCGGCAGCCTAAGAGCGCCCCAAATCCTCCGTGGCTTCCCTGCGCCTTCCACGTAAACCCAGACTGTGTAGCTGGGCGTTCAGGGCCCTGCCGGATCTGGCTCCAGCCGAGCTTGTTCTCAAGGGCAGCCTGCCAGTCCCCCGTCCTCAGGCCAGAGCTGTGGGCCTCGTCCTGGGTGACCCATCACCCAGCCTCCTGCGCATCTGTCACCAGCCCCTCCTCCTCTCCCTGCTGCCTCGCCCCGGCCACCCCAGTGGGCTTCATCTCACCTCCTCTGGTCCACTCTCCACTCAGCAGCCAGGGGGCTCTTTCTATATCTGGCCATGTCTGTCCCCTACTCCAAACCCTCCCACAACTCCTGAAACCCTCAGAACACAGCCACAGCCCCTCCCTATGGCCACCAATCCCCCTCACCCCTGCGGGTCTTGTGCCGAGCCACACTCGGCCACACTGGCCACTTCCAGCTTCCCAGGCAGGCTGTCTGCGTTTCAGACCTTGTTCGTGTTCTTTCCTCGGCCTGGAAATTCTTTGCACTCCTCATCCCACACACCCCATCCTGCCAGCACGAGAGGAGGTGCTGCCTCCCTGCCCTCTGTTCGCTGTGTATTTCCTGACCGTGGCCTTGAGCACTCTCCATTCTGTTAGCCCAGTGAAGAGCGTGTGTGAGTGCACGCATGCACGTGTTCCCGAGAGGGAGCGAGAGAACAAGCATGCTTGCTGAGGTCTAGATCTTTCCGGTTCACCTCTGCCCCCATCACTCAGCATAGGGTCTGACACGTGGCGTAGCATGGTACGTAGCAGGTAAAAGGATGGGGTGAGTAGGATTATTTAAATAAAACCACCTGCCTTAACTCCCGGGATCTGTCCACCAAACCAGGGGTTCTCAATCTTGAGCGTGCATTGGAGTCACCCAGAAGTGGGCTTATTAAAATACAAATTACTGGGCCTCACTCCCAAGTTTTGGACCTGGCGGATCTGGGCTGAAGTGTGCCACGTGGACGCTGCTGGTCCAGGGACCATGCTTGAAGGCCGTGACACCAAGCCGTTGTTAGATCCTAAGCTGAGGATCGTTGTTGAGTTGGGAAAATAGACGCACCGTGCCATCTTCTGATGGCCACCGTTCAGCTTTCATTCAACAAAGAGTCCCAAGAGCCTGCTGTGTGGTAGGTGCCGGGAGGAATATTTGAGACACTCAGTTGCTAGGGGGTCGTGTGGTCAACGCTTGCTGACTGTGCTGGAGAGAGGACCTGAGGAACCGGGCACCCTGTGTTGATGAGCACCGTAATAGAAGAGGAGGGAACAGCCCAGCCCCGGAGGTCTAGGCTGGCTGCCCGGAGGAGGTGACATTTAAGCAGAGCTTTGAGAGAATAGTAGGAGTTTGCTATAGAGAGCAGGGAGGGCATTCCAGACAGAGCGGAGTCCGCAGACACAGATAAATGGGGTGCCGTGGGACGCGGGAGCGGAGAGGAATCGGTGTGTGCAGGAGGTCGGGTGCGGGGCCGCCTGGGTGGCAGCAAGGACTGAGCTAAAAGTGACAGTTGGCACGGGGGGTTAGGGGGGGATCAGCCAGGAACACAGGTGGGGGCAATGATGTTACTGAGAGCAGGGTTTTCCCCCAGAGTCTTGCTGTTCCCCATTTATTATTTTTCCTTAACTTTTTATTTTGAAATAATTATGGATTCACAGGAAGTTGAGAAAAATGTACAGGAAGATGACCCCTTCACCCAGCCTCCCCTGTGGTTAACATCTGTATAGATGTAACGCAGTAGCAAAGCAAGTCGGCACTGGTACAGCCTTAGAGCTTGTTCGGAATTCACCAATCACACATGCACGTGTGTGTGTGTGTGTGTGTGTGTGTGTGTGTGTGTGTGTGTGTGTGTGTGTGGCTCTGTGCAGTTTTATCATGTATAGTCATGTGTAACCATCACCAAAGGCTCCTCATGACATCCCTTTATAGCCACACCCATCCCCTCCCCCTGGCAACGTTAGTCTGTTCTTAGCATGCTTGCTTTCCTTTTTTTTTTTTTTTTTTTTTTTTGAGGCAGAGTCTCTGTTGCCTGGGCCAGAGTGCTGTGGTGTCAGCCTAGCTCACAGCAACCTCAGACTCCTGGGTTCAAGCGACCCTCTTTGTCTCAGCCTCCTGAGTAGCTGGGATCACAGGTACATGCCACCATGCCTACCTAGTTTTTCCTATTTTTAGTGGAGATAGGTTCTTGCTCTTGCTCTTGCTCAGGCTGGTCTCGAACTCCTGGCCTCAAGCAATCTTCCCACCATGACCTGCTGGGATTACAGGCATGAGCCACCACGCCCAGCCTACATCTTTGATTATTGTTATTTTGTGAATGTTATATATAAGGAATCAAACAGCATATATCTTTCTGACGTTGTCTTTTCCACTCAGCGTAATATCGAGGTTCATCCAAGTCTCACAGCCGATTCCTTGTTGTTACAAGCCGTCCTCTGTGCTAGCAGTATTGCAGTTGAACCGCTCGCCCATGCAGGGGCATTTGGGTAGATTCTGAGTTTGAGCCGTAACAGATATTCATGCTATGATCATGTACATTCAGGCGTACAGGTTTCTGCATGAAAATTTTCATTTCTCCGGGATAAATGCCCAAGAGTACAATTGCTTACCGTATGGTAAGCCCATTTTTAGTTTTAAAAGGAACTGCCAATTGGTTTTCCAGAGTGTCTGTACCATTTTGCATTCCCACCAGCCACATATGAATGATCCAGTTCTCCAAATCCTCACCACCATTTGGTGTTGTCACTATTTTTCATGGTAGCTGTTTGATAGGTATGTGGCGATATCTCATTGTGGCTTTAATTTACATTTACAGCTAATGATGAGCATCTTTTCACTGCTTATTTGCCAACTGTACATCCTCTGAGCAACTTGTCTGTGCGTGTCTTTTGCCCATTTTCTAATTGAATGCGGTGTTTTTCAGTGGTTGAGAGTTCTTTGTACGTTCTGCGTACAAGTCCTCTGTCGGATATGTGAATTGCAAATACTTCCTCCCCGTCTTTACTCATCTTTTCATCTTCTTTACAGGATCTTTCACAGAACAAAAGGTTTTGATTTTGATAAAGTCCAAATTATCATTTTTTTCTTTTTATGGATCATGTTTTTGGTGTTGTCTGAGAACTATGCCTAGTCCTAGGTCCTGAAGATTTTCTCTTTTTTTTTTTTTTTTTTGCTAGAAGTTTTACTGTTTTACATTCAAATCCATGATCCATGTTGAGTTAATTTTTTAAAGTTAATTTTTCTCTAAGGTGAGAGGTTTCAAACGGTTGTGTTCCCTTTTGTGCCTGTGGATGTTCAATTTTCCAGCACCATTTATTGAAAAGCCCCTGCCCAATAGCCTTGCTTGGGGGGAACATTAACTGGGCGTGTTTGTGCGAAACTATTTCTGGCTTCTCTAGTCTGTTCGTGGATCTATATGCATAATCTATATGGAGTCCTTCCAGCAGTTCTGCAAGGTGTGTAGTTTAATTATCCCCATTTTACAGCAGGGGAGCTAAAAGTCAACAAGTGGAATCACTTGGCCAAGGTCACTCTGCCAGGAAGTGACCGAGTCAGGATGAGAACCCAGGCCTATCATTCCGGGGGGCTGACCATGAGTCCGGAGCTGTCCTCCTGCCCGAAGGACCCTGAACTCATCCTCCAAGTCAAAGCAATACGCACAGTCCCCTCTAGAACCCCGACCCACAGTAGTAGTGTGCCGGCTGTGGCTTTGCGTTTCAGGCTCAGTGTCAGTAGCTTTGTTTTTCTCTGCAAGCTCCATAAAGAGTGGTACATCCATTAGCAGACATTTGACTGCAAGTGACAGAAAACCTAACTCAAGAAGGCATGAAGCGTTAGGGGATTTATCATCTCCCGTAATAAGAAGTCCAGACGTAGGACAACCCTAGGGCTGGTTAATTCTGCAGCTCAGGGATGTCCTTGGGGACCTGGCTCCATGATAGCTACTGTGGCCCCGAGGAGAACTAGTGCCCTGCAGGAAAAGAGAGAAGAGCTTCTTTTTGTTTTTAAGAGAGAAGGAACAGGGTCACTTGCCCAACCAAAAACCCACCCCTGGCAAGGTCACGTTGCACCCCTAGGACTGTCTTACACTGTCAGGGTTTACTCAAATCGTGTGACAGAGGGATGGTGCCAGAGCAGAATCCAGGCTCCACCAGCGGGAACAGAGATGGAGACGGCTGCTGCAGTGGCAGCTGACAATGGCTGTATCATCTGTCATTGTTCCACTATAAGAAATTAACACTATAGGAAATTGGTGGGTGAGAGCCCCCCACGTGGGTGAGGCTCTTGCTCACGTTTACGTCTATCTTGGCACTTTCCTTTGTGGCCAAGTGGGAAGCCCACGCCAGTATCATAGCCAACCCTGCTGACCTTAATGCACCTGTGACCTTGGCCTCCCCGGCATCAGTACACCCAGCTTCTGTCTGGAGAGGCCTGGAACTGCAGCTAGTTAGTTCCTCACCAAAACCCCAAACCCTTTATCTTTAAAGTGATTCTATCCTCTAAGAAAAGATAGAGTAATTACTTTTAAATTTCTCAGATGAGTTTGAAGGCAGCTATTGGACCATCTCTTCTGCCAGGGATGTTTGCCCAGATCCGTTCACGGTGAGATGCTGAGATGTCCCAGTTTCCAATCAGTTTGACCAAAATTGGGCAGTGATGATAGAAATGACCCCAAAGGGGACACATTCAGCATCCAAATGAATGGTCAAATAGGTCAACCAGTTTGCACTGGAATAATACAAGTGTAATTAATAAGAGAATCCCACGACTGGATAGAGTGTTGCTCGTGTTCACTAGGGACAGCGGCCGAGAGAGGAGTCGAAGCCTGGTAAAATACCTGCGGCTAAAGGGGGTCTGTCTGTCAGGACCCGGATTAGCTGCAAAATACAGATTCAGACAATGTCTTTCTCCCACATTGTGGGGACCCCGGCTCCCCCCGCTGCTGTCCACCACTTGGCCTGCTGCTCCTGGCCCCGTGGCTTCCCCGTGCCCGGCCTGAAGGAGCCCACAAGGCAGAGGCTTCTGAGGAGCTTTCCTGGCTGGAAGTCGCACGTGGCGCTTCCACTTTTCTCTCATTGGCCAGGAGTGCAAAGGAGCCTGGGAGATGTAGTCCGTTAACAGACCACGCTGCCGCGGGACACAGTTGGGATTCTGTTGCCGAGGAGGAGAGAGAGACTTGACGTTAGGGAAGCAGCCAGCACTGTCTGCCACCCACACTTGCCACTTCCCCCTGGCGGATCCCAGCCCCTGCTGACGTTTTCCTTTAGTGCTTAGAGGTTTGATAGCAGTGTTTTGGGGCAACTGAATAAGGACATCAACGCTTCAGTCTCCAGCTATGGTGGAGCCACATGTGACCAGGCACCCAGCCAGGTGTGGAGCCAGACGGGGAGGTGAAGATGGCTCGTAGTCAGAGTTGCCTTTGTAAAACCCCATACATTGCTGGACATGGGGCCCTCGGACATTAAGAAAAGTAAGAATGAACTTTCTGTGCTTATTGTGTTCTGGCTTTGTCTTCCTTTCCTAGAGGTATTAAAGGGCAAGGCCCAGCTGGGGGAAGGGAGGATAGCATTTCTTTTCTTGGCAGGAACGTAGTGTTTTCAGAGAGTGCAGTGCCCCGCCCAAGCATCCTTCTGCTGTCCTTGGGGCATTGAAAGCTAGGGGTTTAGAGCATGGTCTTTGGAGAGACAGCCCTGGCTTTGAGCTGGCAGAGTGACCCTGGATAAGTCAGTTGACTCCTCCTTTGGGTGTTGGGGGTCCCAGTTTATCACCTCTCCGCCCCCCCCAGATCCTCCCAGGTGAGAGTATAGATGCCAGAAGCCATATGGAAGGTTGCCATAGCAGCGCTATTGTTGGAGGCTCAGTAACCCCCCAAAGTACAGGGCCTGCGTCAGTGGGTGCTTCTGGCTGAAGTAACCCGAATTTGGCGGGCCCAGCATTGTGGGCATTTGTCATCTCACAGAGAAGGATGCTTGGAGCCAGGGCAGGCGGCGGGGAGGGTGGATCCAGCGCCTTGACAACATCATAAGGGCCAATGCCTTCCACCTCGTCTCCCCACTCTCAGTGCTGGCCATGCTCAGGCTGATAACGGGACAGCCGCAGCTTGTGATGTTCCGTCTGGGCCCAGAAGGATCTGGAGGACAGAGGGAGGCCAGCTTTGCTCGTCATCTCTCTTAGGAGCAAGACTTTTCCCCCATTTCAGTCAGGCTGTGCTGGGTAACAAACATCTGAAAATCTCTGTGACTTTAGTCGAGAAAGACCTTTCTCTCAGCTACTCTGCAGTCCCACTGCTGGCTGGCAGGGGACCTCTCAGGGCCCCGGCTGCCTGAGCAGCCTCCACCTCAGAGTCACTTCCCTCACAGCTCCTGGATGAGAACTGGTCACGTGGCCCCATCCAGCCAATCCCAAGGGACCAGGAAGTAGGGTCTGCCAGGGTCTTGGAGGTGGAGAGCCAGACGTAGGTCGTGGGAGTCTTCATCGCTCTCACATCATTAGCCAAAATTGTGTCACATGTCTGTCCCTGAGTCAACCTCAAGGAAGAGGAGCTTCTACCATGGCTGGCTCGGACCTGAGGTGGGATGGACGTGGGGCGTCGTCTACAAGGTTCACTCCATGGCGCAGAGAGCGCCACTGGGACGCAAGGCCACGGAGAACCTTCCCTGAAATCCCGGCCCTCGCCTGCGGGTGTGCTGACCCGGCCTGGGGGGCTGTCTGTCTGGGGGTAACTTTGGTATTCATCCCCTCCACAACCCTGTGAGGGAGAAACTGTCACCTCGTTTTTCAGATGGAAAAACTGCTGCTCAACTCAACGAGCACTTGCCCGACCAAAGTCAGGCAGTGAGCAGGGGCGCCACAGGGCTTCGAGCCTCTAACTTCTTACCTGCAGTTCCTTCCTCCGCCAGCACAGGGCCATGCACAGGGTTTAGCCTATGGGTCAGTTGTCACAAGGCACCGTGTGTCGTGTGTCAGCCCCAGGCTAAGCGCTGAGCACAGTGGGGTGTCATTCAGTCCTGCAGGGAAGGGCCTACTCTGATCGCCTCTTGGCAGTGAGGGAAACTGAGGCTCGGGGCTAGGAATTGGCTGCACCTGGCTGGGCAAGGGGCAGTGGGAAGGTTCAAAGCCCCATCTGCCCCACGCCAGGCCTCCTGCACCTCCACATGCGCCCTCATCCTGCTGTCCCTGTCAGAGAGAGGGACCCCCTAGACAGGCCTGGGGCTGTAAAACAGGACCCCCCAGGAGCCTAAAGGTGGTGCAGTCGGCCCAGGTAGCTTCTGCCTCCTCCCTCCGCGCGGACACGCCTTGCCCTGCGCTCCCTGCTACCGCCAGCTCCCTGGCAGGCTTCCCAGGCGCGACTCCACTCCTGACCCTCCGTTAATAGCATGTTTCCAGGCTTACTCACTCGGCCCTGCCGACAGCCTCCTCGCCCCGATCCACAGCGGAGCGTCCGTGTGTGTCAAACCCACTGGCTTGCGAGTCTCGGGCTCAGGTGGCGGTTGACACACCGGAGGGTCACTCACCCTGCGCTGGTCTCTCGCTCCCCTGCAGGTACACGGCCGCCCCGCACCCACTGCTGTCTTTCGATCCCCACTTCGGCCACGATGGAACTTCCAGCGGCGACTCCTCCTCAGGAGGCCTGACCAGCCAGGAGAGCACCATGGAGCGCCAGAAGCCAGGTAGGGCCTCCCTCCCGCCTCTTGTACTTTGACAGGTGACGCCCCCCTCCTGTCAGTGACAGATAAAACACAAAAGGAAGCTGTAAGAGCCACGGGTAAGATTAGAGAGGTCACTGGGGGAGCAGCAGGAAGCAGTGAGGAGGATCCTTATCCGCCCAGACAGGGCCTGGGCAGATGGCGTCTGCTGCCACCCATGCGTCTAGAGCAGGAGCTCAGCTGTGCGACAAGGGGCTGCTGGGCACCGGTGAGGGCAGTTGAGATGTACCAGGCGTGGAGCTCTGCACGGAGCAGAACCACCGTGTTCTGTGGCTTTTAATCAGTAAACCCTCCTGTATTGTTTTCTGACTTTGATGGACACATTGCCCACGTTGAGAACAGACCTCAAAGCCTGAGCGCACAGCTTGATAACGCGTCGCAGAGCGGGCGAGAAACAGAGTGCGGCCGGCCTCCCAAACGCCCCCGCCCTTCCCAGTCCAAACACCAGAGTACCCTGTCCTGCCTCCCACTGCCTTAGTTTTGCCTGGTTTTGAATTTTGTAGGATATAGAATCACACTGTTATGGTGTGTGTGTGTGTGTGTGTGTGTGTGTGTGTGTGTGTGTGTGTGTGCTCGCGCGCGCGCCGCGTCTGGCTTCTGTTGCTCAATACTGTGTTTGTGCAGGATTATTAGCAGCGATGTCATTTCTGAGTAGTGTTCCATTGTGTGAGCGAACCACAATTCATTGCCCTAATCGAGTGCTGATGGACATTTGGGTCGTTTCCAGTTTGGGGCTGCCTAGAACAGTGTTGCTGGAACATTCTTGTACCTGCCTTTTGATGAACATTTGCTCATGTCCCTGGGGGGCAGATACTCAGGAGTGGAACTGCTGAGTCATATATTTAACTTTATCAGAAAGGGCCAAACCATTTCCCAAAGTGAGAGACCATCTCGTATTCCAACAGTGGTACGAGAGTTCTAGTGGCTACGCGTCCTCACCTTCCTTTTCATTTCCTTCCCCGTTCCAGTGGGCAGGTTGATAGTGTCACATTGCGGTTTTGCATTTTTCTGATGACCGATAAGATAGAGTATCTTCACATATGTTTATTCCCCTATATGTAATTGTGAATCACGTGCATTTACTACTTAGATGAATATCTTAAACATAATTTCCTGTAACAAATGTGTAGCCCCTTTGAAGCCTGAGAACCACCAGGTGAATAGGTGGGCTGGCTTCAGAAGGAAGCAAACAAAAGAAGTGTTAGCAGTGACATTGGAAGGGGAGACAGAGATGTCCTCTTAGGAAATGTTTGAGGGTTTCTGGGCGGCTGGGGGGCTGCCATCAGCACATCACCAGCTCTCCAGGTGCTGGGGGGTAGGGAAGAGGTTGCATGAGGTCCAGGGTTCGTGGCCTAGAGAATTCCTCAGGACCTCAGCCATGGTTCATAAACCAGGGTCAGTGGTTTGACTTAAGACGAGCAGGTGGAGCCCCTGGCTGCTCTGTCCCGCTGCTGCCCCCAAGGCCTGCAGACGTGGTTTACTCCTCTCCTCAGCCCACTTGACCCTGCCTGTCACTGCCTACAGTGCTGTGATCTTTGCTCCAAGACAGACAGAGTTAGATCTTTTCTTCTTTCTGGCCCACCCAGCTGAGAAAAAGAGGAAAGTGCTGCTTGGCTATTTCCTTCCACCCCAGTGTACAAAGGGGAGGAGGTATTTCCAGCGTGCACCATGGCCCCAGTGAGAAACTCACTGCTGTCCTTCCTGTCTTTTCTCTTCTGTACCTACGGCCGGTTCCTCTCTCCCTTCCTGGGACCTTGTTATAAGCTGACTGACACCTCCTCCTCCATACACGCACAGATCAGGGGAATCTGTGTTTAGACTCATCACGAAGTCTAGAATGTATTCAAGACCCAGAAAAAAGATAGTCCTTGGGCTGGCAGGGGACAGTGACGATCAGGCTTCTCAACAGACATGGGGTTTGCCCAGCCCCCCTCAGGCGACAGTTGTGGGAACAACACGGTTTTGTGTGGTGATACGTGCCAGCATCGTGCATGCCTTCCTACTTAATCATCTGAGGGACACAGCAGGTGGGCGCTGTGACTGGTCCAGTTTAGAGATGGGGAAGAGGAGACACAGAAAGGTTGTCACTTGTCCAAGGCACTGTTGGTGGGTGGCATGATTGGGATTTGAACCGAGGTCTGCCGATTCCCAGGCAGAGGTGTTGTGAGGCAGCTACTGAGTCTGAAGTCGGGGGCAGAGGTCAGGCCAGAGGCGGAAGTGTGAGAGCTGTCAACCGTAGGTGGCCTCTGAGGCTGGACATGAGTGCCATGGGCTTGGCTCTGCAGAAACGTGGTTTCCCGGCGTGGCTGGCCGCCCCCCCGGCGGACTAGTACCTCCCGGGCCTGCGGGATGCTCGAAAGAGGAAAGCCACCAACAGAGGCAGAGTAGGCGGACAAAGACGCCAGCCTCCCAGCGCTCTCATGTCCACGGCTCCCAAATGAAAGCTACCCAGGCAGTGACACCTTCAACTTGAGTACAGACTGCATCCAGCCGGGCTGTTCTCCGCAGTGGCCCTGAGTGCCCTGCCTGGCCACCAGGCCCACCTTGCCCAGCAGGCACATGAGCCTGCGCGTGCCCTAGGGTGGCACAGAGACTGTGGGGTTGTGGTTGTGAGCTCGGGCTCCCACAGACCTGGTGGGAGGTTCTGAGTCTTGACCTATGACCTTGGCGATGACCTCGTCCCTCTCAGCCTCCGATTCCTCCTCCACAGTGGACGTGCTAAGGGTCTCTCCTTCCAGGGTGGTTTGGGTGCTGAGAGCTCATGCTCACTAGCCCTCGGCACAGCAGCCTGTCTTTAGGAGACTAAGGACCCCTGCTCGTCAAGCACTTACTGCTCATCGCTGACAGGGCTGTCACTGTTGGGGAGGCTGGGGAGGGTGCGGCGCCCGAGAGCACGGGCTTAAAAGTCAGAAGGACCCGAGCTGCACTTCCTGCCTGGCCCTTTCTGACTGTATGACCTTGGACCAGTCTTGATGTTCTCCTTGAACTTGTAGAGATTTAATAACAATTTTATTATAATTAATTTGAATACCATAGTGATCAAAAGTGTCAGCTTTTGGGTTAGAGATGCACCCCCCCACGGGTTCCAGTGATCAGAGGGTGCATTTGTAATTCTGATCAGTATTAACTAGATGCCCTACTTTGGGGTCAGCCGGAGAGATGCTGTGTTCAGGCACATTGACGGGCCGTGGGAGAGTGACAGTCCACACCCACAGCAGCCATCACGGCTTCCAACCTGCTTCCCCTTCGAACCAGCAGTGCCACCCACAGACCCCGTCCCAGACTTGCTCAAAGTTGCGTGTGGAGGGGAGGCCACGATGACACTGTTGTAAGGTGAAATTGAAGAGAACTTAAATATCCATCGGAGGGAAGCTGGTAAAGAACTGGCTGCATACTCACTTGATGCAATACTATGCAGCTATTAAAATTGAAGCGATTTCATGTCAAGTTTCGTGAAGATGTACTGTGAAGATATAAAAGGAAAAGCAAGTGTGGAGATATTAAAGTGAAAAATCAAGTTGTAGGACATTGTTTATTACGATTCCATTTTTTTAAAAAGCCTTTTATGTACATTTAACAAACAAAGGATTGCTACCTTGCATACGTGAAGAACTCTACTAACCAATAAGGTAAAGGACAGCTGGTCTCATAGGAAAATAGGTGAAGGAGGCTGGGGGTGGTAGCTCACGCCTGTAGTCCTACAGAGGCCAAAGCAGGAGGATCGCTTGAGGCCAGGAGTTCGAGACCAGCCTGAGCAAGCACAAGACCCCGTCTGTACTAAAACAGAAAAATTAGCCAGGCGTGGTGGTGCATGCCTGAAGTCCCAGCTGCTTGGGAGGCTGAGACAGGAGAATCACTTCAGCCCAGGACTTTGGGGTTGCAGTGAGCCATGAGGCCACGGCATTCTAGCCCGGGAGACAGAGCAAAACTCTTTCCCAAAACAAAAAGAAAGAGAAAAATGGGTAAAGGAAGTGAACAAGTAATTTACAAAAGAGAAAATCCAAATGGTCGTAAGTATGAAAATATGCTCAGCCTCATTTGGGGGTGAAAACGGGGGGTTGTTTTATGGCTTCAGTAAGTTAACCCACGTAAGGCTCTCAGAATGCTGCTTGGCACGCAGTAAGTGCTCGTAGTAAGTGCTCAGTAAACACCCCTGTTACTGGGTGGTGGTGTACCCTAAGGCGTAAGTAGGTGGAATCGTGCCCCAGGTGAGCCGACAGGCTGGCAGAGGGGTGGGACCATCCAATCATATTTAGGGCAGATTCTTGAGGCCCTGGCCTGAGTCACCCCTAACCACTGGTGTGTCTCCTGTTTTCCTGCAGAGCCTCTGTGGCATGTGCCCGCCCAGGCCAGGCTCTCGGCCATGGCTGGGAGCAGCGGAAGCAAGCACACCTCCAGGCAGGACGCGGCAGGCAAAGACTCCCCCAACAGGCATTCCAAAGTGAGTCTGGGCCCCGCCCTGCCCCGCCCGGGCGCCTGGGCGTTGCGGGCTGGGCAGCATTGCCGGGCACGGCCTCCGAACACCGCAGCACGAGACCACCTCTTCCGCCATCGCCACCGTCCGCTCAGCATGGGGACACAGTGCTTGGTCTGGAGTTCGAACCATCCAGGTTCACAGTGTGGCTCTGCGGTTTCCTCATTCTGACGTCAGTCAGTCTGTGTAGTTAATTGCTGTAACAGATAGCCCCTGAATCTCAGTGACCTCGTACAACAGACGCTTATTTCCCTCCCGTGCAATAGGTGATGTAGGACCCCGGGCCCTCCCTCTTGTGGCACTGCTGTCCCTCAGCCTCGAGCCCTCTGCTGGGTCCCTGCAGCTCTCCTGTGGTGGGAGTCGGGAGGAGAGAGGGTCCTGTACGGGATTTTTGGCCCAGGCCTGGAAATAGCATGAGTCGCTTCTGCGTGCATGCGTGGCCGGGACTCCAGCATGTGGCCACGCCTCACTGCAAGGCAGCTGGGAAACGGAGTCGCGTGTGTCCAGGAGATAGTCGGGGTGGGCTTTGGGCGGTCTCTCTGCATCCATCCACGCAATAGGTGCTGGACAAGCGCTTGCGACATGTCCGGCATTAGGACCGCAGTGACGAGGAGGACAGACCAGGCCCTGTCCTCAGGAAGCTGACATCATAGTGGGGACAGCAAGCTGTGAGCAGATAAACAGATAGAGTCCCCAACACTAAGAACTGCTCCTTCCCGAGAAAGCAAAACAGAGCACAGCTAAGGGGACAGCAAGTGACAGGCACCATTGCTTTAGCATGACGTGGTCAGAGATGGCTGTGAGGTGTGGCCTTTAAGCCGGGACCTTGCATGAAGTCACCTGAGGACCAGGCATGGCAGGCAGAGGGAACAGCAAGTGCCACAGCCTAAGCAGGGGGAGTGCCAGCATGTTCTAAGAACATCGAGGGCCAGAGTGGCCGGAGCAGAGTGACGGGCGGGAAGGGAGATGGAGCTTGAGACCAGAACATGGGGCGGAATCATCGAGGCCTCTTGGGCTGTGGGGAGGACTCTGGCTTCCCCCTGAGTACAATGCAGTGGTGCAGAGTTCCAATGGGGGGAGGGGATGTAGCCCCAGGTGCTCATGGCTTGCCCCTGGCCATAGTGGGGAACAGATGGGGCGGGGAGGGCAGAGAGGAGGCCGGGGTGCCGGCACAGTGGGAGGCGGGGCACGGGACCGGGCAGCCATGGAGGCAGAAGGGGCAGCCCTCGACCTGTTTTGAAGACACAGGCAACAGGGTTTGCTGTCAGACCAGCAGGGTCAGCCTGAGTCCACAGCCCTTGGCCGGGCAGCTGCAGGGATGGTGGGGCTGTTATTGAGACGGGGAGGGGACAGGTCCAGGAAAGGGACAGAGCTCAGTTCCAGACATGCTGGGCTGGAGACGTGGGAAGCGCGTTCTGTACATGTCGTCTGTTCCGGAGCAACCCATGGAGCAGGGTTTTCGTCACCTCCATTTTACATACGTGGAAACAGGCACAGAAGGGGCCAATCACTTGCCCACGGTGACACAGCCAATAAGCAGGAAGTCAAGGTTGGAAGCTCTCTGGTTCCAGGGTTCTCGCTCAGCAAAGGGAAGCCCCGGGGAGGGCGGATTTGTGCCTGTTGTGGCGTCGAGGAATGACACGCTTCTCTTGCCTTCCAGGGAGAACCTCAGTACTCAAGTCATTCCAGCAGCAACACGCTCTCCAGCAACGCCTCCAGCAGCCACAGCGACGATCGCTGGTTCGACCCCCTGGACCCCCTGGAGCCAGAGCAAGACCCCCTCTCCAAGGGTGGCTCCAGTGACAGTGGCATTGACACCACCCTCTACACCTCCAGCCCCAGCTGCATGTCCCTGGCCAAGGTGCCTCGGCCCACCAAGCCACACAAGCCCCCTGGAAGTATAGGCCTTTGTGGCGGGGGACGCGAGGCTGCTGGGAGGCCCCACCACACAGACAGGCGCCGGGAGGTGTCCCCTGCCCCCGTGGTTGCTGGCCAGAGCAAGGGCTACCGGCCGAAGCTGTACTCCTCCGGCTCCAGCACCCCGACGGGCCTGGCCGGGGGCAGCCGAGACCCGCCGAGGCAGTCCAGGTAAGATACTGCACCCAGTCTGGGTCCTTTGGGGCGGCGGTCCCCAATCTTTCTGGCACCAGGGACCAGTTCCATGGAAAACAGTTTTTCCAAGGGGGTGCAGGGGGTATTGCAGGGCAGAGCTCAGGCGGTGGTGCGAGCGATGGGGAGCGGCTGTAAACACAGATGAAGCTTCACTCGCTTGCCCTCCTCACCTCCTGCTGTGCAGCCTGGTTCCCAACAGGCCACAGCCTGGTACCAGTCCACGGCCTGGGGGTTGGGGACCGCAGCTTTAGGAGATCCTGACCGGCCTCTGCTTCCCCCAGTCCTGCGTGTACAGTCCTGGGAGGTGGGGTTCCCCTCCCCGGAACATCTCCCAGATGCACGCGCTTACACACTAGTGTGCTGGCAGAACTGGGAGGCTCGGGGCCCACTCCCTGCTGCCCACCCACCAGCCTTCGGGGACCCCAGGTGGAGGAAGAGAACTCACTGGGTGTCTGTCTTCCTCTGTCTCTTGTTCTCTCTGACCTTTTCTGTCTCTTTTCTTTTCTCTCTCTGCTGAGACCAAGAGTTTTTATGCTTTCTGGGGGTCACAGACTGTATCTCTTAGGAGTGCATTTATCTGGAAGTAATAGGAAACCTGACCCACACTGGCTTAAACAAATAGAGGTTTTACAGTCCCCTGACATGATGTGCAGAGAGGGCAGAGCCCGGCTGGTACAGCAGCTCAGGGAAGGCCTCTAGGACCGCTAGTCTGTGTCTTCCTGCTTCTTTGCCATCCTTACCGTGCTGGCTGTCTCCCTGGCCTCGAGATGGCTGTGGCGGCCGGCAAGCGGCAGTGCGTGAGCGGGGAACAGAGAGAAAGGCTGCAGCATCTGTGCCGATTGCTGGGCCCCACGCAGAGCGTCCGATCCAGTAGGTCCGAGTAGGGCCTCAGAGTTTGCATTCTTTGAAAGATGCCGGTAGATGCTGATGCTGCTGGTCCCAGGACCGCACTTCGAGAGCCCCGGGTAGAGGGACAGGGAGAGGGGTGAGTGAGAACAGGCTCTGACCACCCGACAGCCCGGAGTGCAGACCGCAGGCCCATGAGGATGGGTGAAGGTGGTGAACCATGTCCCGGGAAAACGCACAGCGGTGGAGGCGCTTGGCAGAGTCAGGGGGCTCAGCTCAGCCACGGACCCCTTACAAGCCCCAGGGGCCAGGCAGGCTCGCTGTGCTGCAGTCCCCAGCGCTGGCCCCTGAGGCCACAGCCTCACTGCCCTTCCCTGACCTCATGTGGATGTGGCGGATCCTCTGTCCAGTGCGCACGTGGCACACGGGGTCTTCACCTCCCTCGACTTCCCAGCACCTTCGCCAGACCTCACACCCGCCTCTCCCCGCACGGGGCGCGAGCACCCGGGCAGTGGCCTCAGCCCTCTGCGCCCCACGGCTGAACCGTGTCTGTACAGAAATACCGGGCAAAGAAAAGAGAAGCAGCAGTTTCCGAAATAATACCCAGCCTGCGTGTCATGCTCTCCCATCTAGTCTAGTCCGTCGAATAATGTTTAATGCTGATCAGTCCCTGCTTACATGATTTCGTGACTTACCGGGGTCCTCTGACAGATCTGAAAGCCACTGTGTTGCAGAGTGGCTGTAGCGTCACCACTTCCCTGGGCGCTGTGATCCAGGCACCTCCTTGAGCCAAGCAGCCCCGGGAAGGGCTGGAGGGGGGAGAGAGCGACTTCCCGAGTTAGGTCCCTGTCACAGTCCGCCTCCCTAGACAAGTAGCTCTTCATCTTTTGAACTTACAGACTCTTGAACACGTAAAACTGCACCGGGAGGGGGACATGGGGCCAGGAGAGTCTATAGCAGGGGTCGCAGGTCTGGGTCTGGGGGTAGCTTCTGGGCACAGGCCCACCATGTCCGTGCACCTGAACGACTGTGGGGTTTTGAAAATCAACATGTAAAGGCAGCCAGGATGGCAGAGATAGTGGCTGAGGCAAGGGGGGTGGGTATAAAATTACCCCATGTCTGAGGGAAAGATTTGCTGAACCCAGAAATAAGGGAAGAAAATGGGAGAGGAGCCGGCTACAAAAGAGGGCCCTGCGGTTGGGAGCTTTAATTTGCATGCAGACAATTGATGCTAATTGCAAATCATTCTTATCTACTCATTAAAGCTGCTTCCTGAAGTTTTCTCCTAGGCAACCAGGCTGTAGTGTGGAAGAGCATTTCCCAAAATGGGGTGCTGGAGGTGATTTGGGTGGTACAGGCGGAAAGCGTTTTATTTTAAATGGATATATGCTTGCTTTAATGAGTATTAGGAGAAGCGTTTCCAGCTCATCCCCTGATTTTACAGATACTGCCTAGAACAAGTTAAGGGAAATCCGAGTTGATTTAAAGAACCATATTCGTGGTGGATAAGAGTGTAGACTCCAGAGTCAGCCCACCTGGGTTCAAGCCCACCCTCTGCCATGTCTTGGCTGTGTGGCCCTGGGCAAGTGACTAAACCTCTCTGGGCCTCAGTTTCCTCATCTGTGACACTGGGGATAAACCACATGCCTACCTCGTAGGGACATGTAGAGGATTCAGTGAGCTCTGGCAACAGTACCTGGTAGTGGACCTCAGGCCTGCCTGTCATTGAAACCACAGGTCACGGGTAGGAGGGGTGTTATTTAAAAAAAAAAAAAAAAAAACCAGGGCGCGGTGGCTCACACCTGTAGTCTTAACACTCTGGGAGGCCAAGGCAGGAGGATCACTTGAGCCCAGGAGTTTGAGGTCACAGTGAGCAGTGATGGCACCACTACACTCTAGCCAAGGTGACAGAGTGAGGCTGTCTCAAAAACATAGAAGGGAAGGATGAGTCGAGCGGGTACAACAGGAGCAGGGCAGCACGTGCAAAGGCCCTGCGGGGTGGGGGACAGCTGCCGCCGCACTGAACGCGGCCCCTCAGCTCAAAGGCAGAAACTGAGGGGCAGCCGACGGAAGTCAGGGAGGGCGGCGGGGTCCGGCAGATCTGTGTTCTGAAAGGTGGGGCTGGGGCAAGACAGGAGGTGGGGGCTGGCGGAGGGAGCGAGGCCAAGATCTGAGCGGGGAGGATGTGGGCCTGGCGGGAGAACATGGCAGCAGGTGGCCTTGCCAGGATGTGAGGAGGAGGGAGACTTGGGTCGGAGGTAGACTTGGGTCCGACGGAGCCCGCGAGCCGGGTGAGTGTCCAGGCAGAGTGCCGGCGTCAGGACGCCGCTGCAGACCGAGCGCCAAGAGTCCTGCGAGGGGCAGACGCAGGGCTGGCCGGGCCACAGGGCAGCGTTGCTTGTCGCACGCTGAGCGTCTCGGCGCCCGCTGCGTTGCGTGCCAGGCACGGTGCGAGACGCTGCGGTCCAGCAGGCTCCTCGTGGAGCTGCCGTTCTCCGAGACAGACAGTCAGTCAGTCGACCCACCGCGCAGTGTGACGGCCACGGTGCTGGGGAGGCAGCTGGGCAGGACACGGGGCAGGGGCACAGGTGGGGCAGAGGAGAGAGTGGCCGTATCAGATGGTGGAGCCCTGGAGGCATCCGAGCCCATAATCCAACTGACTTTCTTAAAAAGATCACCGCGGGCTACTCTGGGAGAAACTGGCTGTTCGTGGGGGTGGGGGAGGGGGGTGGAGGGCAAAATCTGAAGGCCGCCAGGGAAGGGAGGGCCCGCCATGCCCACGCGGGGAACCCCCCACCTCCTCCCCTCCCTGGGTCCCAGCCGCTGCCGCGGAAGCCGCTGCAGCCTGTAGCAGCTTGTGCCTGTCCACGGCTTCGGTGACTTCACACACACTCTCCAGACGCCGGTCATGGGAGCCCGGCTGCCAGGCGCGCTGCCCGGCGCCACTGCCTGCTGTGGGCACCGCGGTGGGCCGAGCGGTCCCAGGCGGGCAGCCACCTGGCCCCCGCCCTCTCCCGAGGCGGCGCACGCTCCAGAGCTCCCTGGGCTTCCAGAGCCATTTGTCAGAGCTGCTCGGGGCCATCAGAGGCTCCCTGCCCCACGTGGGGCTGACGAAGCCGGGCGTTCCCAGATAGGCAGGAAGCACGGGGCCTCGCCTCCCCAGGCCGAGCCAGGCGTCTCCGGGCTTGTCTTCTGGGGGCACAGCCCTGAAAGGTAATCCGGGGTCTTAGGATGCACGGCCCCTCCTGCCTGTGTGTGTTAGGAGGCTGGGGTCACACGTGACAGAGACCTACTTGGAGAGTCACAGTCAGCTTGGGAGGAGGAACCCCGGCTGTCTCCTGGACCTCAAGGGAATGAGGGAGCGACGCAGAGACCTGTGGGGGGATCGGGCAGTGCAAAGGCCCTGGGGTGTGTTTGGGGAGCAGCTTCCGTGCGGCTGAGGCAGAGCGAGGGGCGGGAGCCAGGCGCTGCAGACAGAGGAGACCCAGCAGATGGGGTGGCGCCTGGTGGGAGGCTCAGGCTCTCACCCTAACCAGGTGGCACTACGGAGAGTGCCGAGCAGAAGAGTTCCAGTGTGACTCGTGTTCCCGGGGTCCCTCTGGCTGTGTGTCGAGGCTGGGGAGGACGCAGGAGGAGGAGGAAGCCACTGCGGCGATCCTTGCGGGTCCCCGGTGGCAAAGGCAGCGAGCAGCGGCTGGTTGGGTTAGGGTCTGTGCTGGGTCGTTACTCGCATCCTGCCTGCGTCCACTCCCTGAAGACCTGTCGCTTCTGCAGCTCAGGCTGCCAGGCGAATGTGGCTGCCCCACGGCTCCCGCACTGGAGCATGATGATTCTCGAGTCCACGGCGGACGTCAGGGAGGGAAAGCAAGGAGGGTCCAGCACTTGAGGCCGGGCAGCCAGGGGCCCGCCGGGCGTGTGCGGGTGAGCAGTGCCATTTCCAGGCCCGGCCTCTGCCCACCCCTGTCCCGACCTCGGCCCCACCGCTTACCAGCCATGTGACCCTGGCCAGACCCCTCGGCTTCCCTGAGCCTCAGTTTCCTCAGCTGTGAAATGGGGATAATGTTGAGATCTATTGTCTATTGTGAGGATGAACCAAGACCGCAAATTTAAGCAACTTAGCACAGGGCCTG